CTGGGTCAAGGCGGGGAGTTGGGGCAGGAGCAAATACAAAGCAGGATGTCATCTGGGGGAACTCAATTATCCAATAACATAGCACTTTTGTAAAAAGCTATGCTGAACAAATCTCATGCAATAAATATATAATATTTTATTTAAGATAGTAAATATAGCAGAATTTGAAACTGAAATATACCACCTGGTTCCAGACTCCATCAGCTGTGGCCCCTTGTAGCAACACAGACCCATGCCATGGCATTGTCCTTTGAACTGACCGTTTCTGAAGTAAAACCTCAGCAGCTCTGCAGAATAGTGGTGGAAAATTCTGCATGGAGTGATAGAAACCTACATTTGTTTTCATTTAATATTTACAAGGTTTGACAGGGCTGGAGACTAAGAAATATCCACCTTGTTGCTCTAAGATAAACACTTCTTGGGCAGCAGCGGCATTTATCAAAGCTACAGTAGATGTAGATGTGAGAGAGGTCTTATAGTAAAGAAAGGGATGGTGATTCAAATACTATTATATGAGTCATTGAACTCTGAGTGCTGTAACTATTGCACACTTCTGGAAGCAGTATATGTTGAAACCGAGTCTGTAAATTCAGAGCAACAGGACTGAGGGCTCAAAATGTAGTCATTAATGGCCCACTGGGAGGCGGGGGAAAGACAGCAGAGTTAGCGCACTGAGAATTATTCCAGTTCTACTGCTATTCTTTGATGATATGATTGTTTATTCAGCCACATTCCCCTGACATTATATGTAGTTTGTTTAGGCTAAATGCCCAGGGAGAGAAGGGACAAGACTTGTGCTCACTCAAACACAGCATCTATATTTTATCAAGCGAAAAGAAAGAAGACCACAATTACAATCAGCAACACCCTTTTCTCAGTGCTGTGTGTCCCCCTGTGTCTTTGAGACAAATCTGCCAATACTGGATATGTAGCTGTTTTTGTGCTGTGTGTTCCTGCTGAGCTGACACAGGAGAAAAAGATATGCTTCCTGCATATTATGCACCTTTTAAATATATATAAAAAGGAAGATCTAGAGAAAAAAGTTGCATCTCAAATTAAGTGTGATGTATTTTTTCTTATTGTATTCAGTTCTTGGTCTGCAGTTCACAGGATGTTTAAAGCCACAGTTCTTGGTGCTAAGCTAATAAACATGCCTCAATCTAAAATGAAGCCTAGATGTTTGGGATTAATTTATTAGCAGATGAATCTGTGATGGGTTGTATTCTGAACTTCATTCATGAAAGGATTTGTTGTCATAGTGGATATAGGAAACAGAAGGGCTCAGACGGTGAGCTTTACAAATCCCAGAGGAATCTCACCTTGTGATGTCTTTTCAGTTCGTAAACCAAGTACGTACATTGAATGTGAAGGCAAACAGCAGAAACGATAAAATAACTAATACTGAGACTTTCACTCATAGCTCATTGTATCATCAATATTAATTGATATACAGAATTTTCTATATGAGATTTGAACAAGTATTGGATATAAATGAAAATGTATAGTTTTTTTATTTTAATGTACAGTATTTGCGATTTTTATTTTAACTTATATCAATACTGCAACCTTTAGATTGGAATGTCTAAAAAAATGACAGGCACAAAAAAAGAAAAACAAATAAAAATGACAAAACATGGCACCTTAAAGACTGTTATATTTTAATATGAGCTTTCATGGATAAAATATACTTCCTCAGACATAAGGCAGAGATAACATGGCAAGTTTTTATATGTTTATAGATAAAGGTAAAGGTTCCCCTTGACATTTTTAGTCCAGTCATGTCCGACTCTAGGGGGCAGGGCTCATCCCGTTTTCAAGCCATAGAGCCAGCGCTTGTCCGAAGACAGTTTCCGTTGTCACGTGGCCAGCGTGACTAGGGAACGCTATTTTAAATGGCATCAAAATACAGAGACCCTGGTTGGTTGGTGTCCAAGATCCTACAACAATGGCATCAAAATACAGAGACCATGGTTGGTTGGTGTCCAAGATCCTACAACAAGAAGAATCAGCAGTGAGAGTCTCAGTTGCCCTTTTGTTTTACTTTCCTCTGAATTTCAGATTTGTTTTTCTCAGTATGGGACATATTTTGTTCAGTGCAAGAGAGAAACAGCTGAGCGAGAGATTGCTATGCATGTGATAAACCTAGTCCCAAATAATGTTGACTCAGCAAGCCTTTCTTGCCAGGTATGCACAGCATGAAAGCATTAATAACAAAGAACAAGAGAATAGATTGAAAATGGTGAAAATTTATTGTGTTTCCACACACATGGTGCTGGCTTTTTTGCTAGTATTTTTGCATTTACATTTTTTCATTAATAATTCTATTGTCATACCTATATGTTTCAATGCATATCAGGTTTTCCCCTCCAAAGCAATGGATTTAAATCTGCATTGCCAGAAAGAGAATCACCTGGCAGATGTCCTTTGCTCTGTATTCCTGCATTGAGCAGGGAGTTGGACTCGATGGCCTTAAAGCAGTGGTCCCAATGGCGGACTGGTTGGGGGTGTGTGGCATACCCACAGAGGGGCGGAGCTCTCACACATGCATGCACACATCACGCTTGGTGGGGCCCGCTCGCGTGCATGCACACAGCATGCTCACAGGGGGTGGGATGCGCAACGCCGCTCATGGGGGCGCTCGTGGGGTGTTGGAGATCTGTGTCCACGGTTCAGTCCTGGATCGGCTGCGGACCACTGCTGGATCGCGGACTGAAGGTTGGGGACCTCTGCCTTAAAAACCCCTTCAACTTCATGATTCTGTTATTCTATGACTTTTGGATATTTACTTTCATGTGAAAAATACCATTAGAGTTTTAGGTGGCTTAGGCTAACCTTTTATTTCTTGTTTGAACTAACAAAGCCCATTTGCTTTTTAGAAGACCATTTTAATGTATTATGTTCTGTGCAATGACGCTTGTTTCATTGAAATGGCCTTGGGATCTAATGAATACTATTAATGTTTTAGCGTTTTATGTAGTGGTATATTTAAGAAAATGAAAACCAGGGTGGTATAATGGATACAGTGATGGGCCAGGAATCGGGAAACCTTGGTCTGAAATCTGTTTTAGCCATGGAAACTCACGGAGGGAGGGAGGCACTGGTAAAACTTTCCTTTAAATATCTTGCATACGTTACAGCAGCCTCAGTAGGGCTTCCAGGACAGATATGACTTATTAGCTTATAAGAATAATAGGATCAGATACACCCAGAAATCCTGAATATGTTCAAGAGCTGGTTACAATGTGAGAAAGAAAAACTGCTCCTCTCACGCTCAGAGGAAGATAGTCTTTGTTACATACTGTATTTTCCAGGACTAATATGATTTGGTATTATAGTACTTCACTTAGATTGTGCAGAAATGTACTCCAACACAGTCAAATGTAGAAAGTGCACCTTTTATGATAGGTGTGCCTTGACATAATTGGAAGGTAATCTTGATTAAACTAGGGAGTGGGTGTACTACCACTGAAAACCTTAAGTTTGTGTTCCCCTTTGGAAACAGATAATCTTTTGTATCCTCAGATGGACCTTTGGTGGTAAATAAAGATTGCCCAGGTCTTTAAATGGAGACGTTAGAGCCACCCATTCAGAGGGAATAGATGGGAAAGAAGTACAATGTATTGAAGAAGAATTAATTTAATGTGCCCATCCAGAAACGTTCAGAATCTATCTAGTCTAAAATCATTCCTTACCACATTTAAAAACAAATTCCAGAGTATACTGAAAAACACACACACATAACTATCATCAAACAGTATCATTATATTTCTGTTTATTGACAATTGGAGATATATATGTATTTGCACCTGACATGTTCATGGTTTTGTTACTTGATTTCAATCCACCATGGTATGTCACGTGATTTGTCTTGTAGCTCTGTGGCTCTTTATGATTTCTTTTTCTCAGCAGTTCATTGATGTTTGCACGGTTGGTTTCAAAATTCTTTATCATTCAACTCATTTGTTTTATTTATATGGAAAAAATCCCTGCTGCTACAGTTTCTGAATGTTTATAATTTATTAGCTGAAAGGCTAGGATCAAGATATTAAAGGCAGAAGGATACTTCAAGATCTGAGTTGGACTATTTCAGATTTGTACCTAGAAATTAAACCAGGAAAAATAAAATTATAGCTAAGCACATATTTAGAGTTATTTCATGTTGTCCTTTAAGAACATTGTCCATAAGCACTCTTGTTAAACTCTATCTTGAAAGATGAGGCTAAAATCTAAGCTATATGATCAGCAGCTTCATGCGATCTCGTGTTGGTTTGGACCACTTCAAGATACAACAGTCCAAATCTACTTGCTTTGTTATGTGGGTATAAAACAAACAGTAATAACTTTTGGAAGTGAATTGTCTTAAGTTAAGAAATCACCATAAACATTGTACAACTCAGTATGCAGTTGATAATGTCTGTGACAATTTCCTAACCTGAAGAAATTTCCCTCCAGAAGTTGTGCCACTTAAATAAATACACTAGAAGATTTTATCCAATATGATTATATTAGAAACTGAGATGTGTTCATGGAGTGAGACTGAGCAAGAGATGGAAGAGACCAGAGATTATCTGTGACTCTTAATGCAAGGGCTAAGCAGAATCTAGATAACTAAAATAGTCACACTTTGAAATAATAGAATTAAGTAGTTAATAATTCATTTTCTTGCTCCTTTTAAACATTATGGGTGTGTGGCTATTTTTGTATCATGACCTGAGCCCTGGAAATAAGGTGACATCTGTCCTAAGATTCTGTTGGAAAGGACAGAGGAGAAAGATGCAGGTATCTGATTCATGTATAGTATTATAATAAAATGTTGCCTCTTATCATACATTTTATTAACTGGTTCTAACCGTTACCTGTTATTTTCAAGTATCCAATTTGACAGTGATACCAGAGTTTGGCAGTAGCTATTATGAAGATTAGAAATGAAGCTTGAATGCTATTATATCAAGCTGAATTGTGCTGAGCAGTTGGAAATAAACTCTTATGTATCTTTACAGAATCACATTCCCTTCTTTCCTTCTGTCTGTGGATCTGTACTATACCTTCTGAAGCCTACAATGAGTTCATCTATAGGACTTACTTTCTTGTCATTAGTTATCATCTTTTGTACAGGTAAGATCTTTCTCTGTCCTGATGGAAAAGTGAGATTCAGTTTTGGGCTAAGCATGGAAACTGATCTGGGCTCATATTAACACAGTAACAAAGCTTTTCATCCAAAATTCAGAACATGAAATTATCTGGAGCATGTGATTCACATGCTGCATAGTTCAACTGCATTGATCAGTGTTTGCGATGTATATCATGTAATTTTAATATGGCTTATGCATGTATGCTTTGTGCATTTTATGGGGCTGTTGTGTTCATTGCACATAATTTTTAGGAACATAATATGAATTTATTTATTTATTTTTCTTATTTTTTAAGATTTGCTAACATCATAATTACAGCAGAAAGAACATGAGATTGTAAAAATTGAGAAATCAGAGTTTACAGAATCAAGGCAGAATACTTTAAGTGCTTAGCTTTTGGAGGTCTGGCTTTGTAATAACCATTCAGTCATGTTAGTGATTATGAATTTAAGTTGCCACTTCTTTTTTTCTAACACTCATCCCATTTTTAATAATTATGTGGCAGACAGAAGCAACCAGATCCTCTCATTATCGAGAATAATTCCAGTAGTTGATTCCGACTAGAGGGTTAATAGTTTTCTTTTATTTACTTTGGATAAGAAATTTTTGAAATTAGAAATTTTTCATAAATTCAACAGAAAGAATTTGAGATTTTTAAAAAATAATAAGAAAGTGAGATGGTGAAACTGACAGATTGATCCACCCTTAGTCTGGTTGTACTAAAGAGGAGAACCAAGGCAATGAACAACAACAAAAAATTGAGTCCTGCCATTACATTGCAATTTTTTTTGAACAGTGCCCTCATATTTAGTTCTTTTTACACAGAGCTCATTTTTATGTCACCGTCATTGACTATTTACCATGGTAATCTAACCTAATCAGCTGTACTCTCTGCTGTCATTTAACACATACATTTCTATTTTCCCTTCAGTCCTTCAATCTTCAGATGTCTCAAGCTATGCTTTAAAAGGTTGATCCCTCAGTGGGAAGGCTTTTCATTTCAGATGACTGAGAATTAGATAATGCCTTGGAGCTAATTCATCATCTTAGGGAGAGGCTACTTCAGTGTCCTTTATAAATATCTAATTACCTTTTAATGTTCCCTGGGTCTCTTGGGAAGGTGACTGGCCTAGATTAGGAAGCAATTAGCCTGTGTGGAAACTGGTCTGACCCACATATGTTGGTGACATCAAGGCAATGTTAGGTTTGCTGTTAACCAGCTGAATGTAGATTTTCACCACCACCACCACCCTGCCCACTTCAAGCAGAGACCATAAAGAGTAAGTCATCTACAAAACCCTGCAGGGGCATTTTCTAATGGCTGGTAACATACAACACAAAAGATGAGGATAATGATGGCTAGAAAGCTGTGAAAATTTCTCAGTATGAGCAGGAACAAGGAACCAGGAGGGGGGAAAGCCTGGTGTGGCTGCATCATAATACTGTACAGTAATGTGGTCTTGGTTTGAGGCTTACTGTCTAGATCTATAAAAATGCCTAAATCTCGGCATCCCAAATCAAAGTTGCTTTTTCTCTAAGGAAAATGAAAAATTGTATTGTAGTAGGTTTTTCACAACATGCAAAAATCAAGGAGCTGCACTTACTTCTCAGCCCCTGGAACAGTTTAGGAAAATAGGCAACAAATTGTTCTATAAATGACATTTCTAGTTTACCTGTTGTGTACTGTTAAAAACTGAAGGAATTGTTGTTCCGCTTTGACTAACCTCAGGCTATTCCTTTGTATCCCTATACTTACTATATAATATCAGCAAGTTCTAGCAAGAGGCGTAAAGCTCTTGTGTAATGCAGCGAGAAGATTTTCTGATAAACTGTGTGTGAAATAATTGTTCAAGAGAACCTAGAAATAGCTCTGAAGAAGAGGAAGAAATAGCAACTCAGAAAGATCTCCAAGGTGATGCTAAGCAGAGCATTGTCCATTATTGTGAGAACTCATCTTTATAGCCATTACAGCTTACTTTTTTCTCTGCTACATAGAACAGAACAGGTCTATTTTCCTTTTCATGTGTCAAAATAAAAGTAAGGGATGGATTTTACAATGCAGTGCACACCTGTACCTTCTCACTCAGAAGTACTTTGCATAAGATTTTTCACTCCCAATTGTGCATAGGATTGCAGCTTTACAGCAGAATCCTAAGCATATTTGCCCAGAAGTAAGGCCCTCTGATGGCAGAGGAATTAGTTCTTGTATGAGAAGACACAAAGCTGCAGCTTTCTGCACTGAATATGCTTTCCTGAATTTGTCCTGGAATTTCTGCTGATGCAACTTTAAAACTGACTGTGCAATGGCCTATTAAAATTTGTGTCTTAAAGTTGTACACAGTCCTGAAAAATCGCATTTTCCAAGGGGAAAAATGGCTCTGTCTATAAATCCTGAATTATCTGAGATGCAAAAGCAAGCTGGTAAATGCTGGCATGATGGAGCAGTTGTATGACTGAAGAATTGGCCATTCCCAACTGGTATCTTCCAGTTCTTGATAATTCACTCTAATTACCCCAGAAATACTGCTTCATATAGCTTCCTCAAAACTATTGTTTTGCTTTCTCAAATCCAAGTTACTGATAGGATTGTGATTTTGTGTGTGTGTGTGATGACATCTGTAGCAGTTCCTTTAAAACAGCTTCATATTGTTGTTTAGTCATTAAGTCTTGTCCAACTCTTCGTGACCCCATGGACCAGAGCACACCAGCCTCCTGTCTTCCACTGCCTCCCAGAGTTGGGTCAAATTCACGTTAGTAGCTTCGATGACACTGTCCAACCATCTCATCCTCTGTCGTCCCCTTCTCTTCTTGCCTTCACACTTTCCCAACGTTAAGGTCTTTTCCAGGGAGTCCTCTCTTCTCATGAGCTGGCCAAAGTATTGGAGCCTCAGCTTCAGGATCTGTCCTTCCAGTGAGCACTCAGGGTTGATTTCCTTCAGAATGGATAGGTTTGTTCTCCGTACAGTCCAGGGGACTCTCAAGAGTCTCCTCCAGCACCACAATTCAAAAGCATCAATTCTTCGGCTTCCTTCCCCCTGCATTAAGATTCATTATTGGCCAAAATTCTCTTGCTTTGTCTAGTAAATTGCACTAGAATAGGCCCATTGAATCCATGGGGATTTCATGGTTCAACTCCTTTGTAATTTCAGTCAGTTCAAATAGGCCTATTCTAACTGTGACTTACTTTAGCATAGCAAGTCACAGAGTAGGCCCACTTAAATCAATGAATCATACAGAGGGGCTGACTCACAAAATCTCCATGGGTTCATTGGACATAATCTAGTGTGATTTGCTACACTAAGCAACAGGTTTTTGGCCATTATCTGCTAACTTCTGTTTTTTGTTCTGCTCTTAAAGACATAATTGTGGAATTGTGTGGTTCCCCAGCTGTTCACTGTGTGGTCCAACAGCTGGTTATATTCATGTGGCAGTTGTGGTGGCTGGAAAAAAGCAAGGCAGTGGTCACAAGAGTAGGGTTTTGGAGTGCCCCACTAGCAATTTTGCTTAATCACAGACCTTTTGCAAAAGGCAGACAACCCTTCTGCTATATTTCTGCAGCATGGTTCATCTTACTCCTCAATCAAAATGCGATTTCCTCCAGACACCCTGAAATCTCAGGTGTGAGCTTGGCTTATCTTCTTACACTCCTGGCGATCGATACCTGACAGCTGCAGTTCATAACTAGCGCAGGGACACACAGGGAGGGCAACAGGGGACACAACTAGTGAATACAGCATTCATATTGAATTAAAATGGATGAACAGCCAGATTTTGCTTCTTGTTTCAACAAACAAATGGGCCTAATTCATCCCTCAAATTGGGAACCAAAACCTGACATTTAACAAACAGAGCTTTCAAACACAAAATATCTTCCAATTAGCATGAATTATTTATTGAGTGCTGAGCAGTCTCAGTCAGTCCTGCCCTGCCCCCAACGCTGAGCCTGAAGTACATCTGGGTTTAATCATTGGAATGTCATTAGTAGATGACAATCTTTCTAAGCCAATATTGCATTCTTATTGTTTTGTTGCCCAATCAGTATCAAGGACAAAGCCATTTTCAGCTAAGACAGGATAAGTGGGCCTCTTTCAAGGCTTAAGAGGAACCAAAGGACCCTGTCATTATTTTAATTAATCCAGCGTTGTTTAATGATCAGCACAAGCAATACATCCATCACTAAACTACAAAAAGGAAATAACTCTTGCAAACTAGTGATGTGGGGAAAGCCATAAGATGGACATATTCCACAGTCAGACAATTCATTTTCTTTCATACATAGGCATATGCATATGTGGGAGATGGATTTTGGTGGAATGATAACAGTTCTGTATGTTTAAACATAGAACTGCCCCCAATCATATAAAGGAGTATAGATGAGGATCATAAAACCCTCTTGTCTCCTATGCCATCTCATGATAGCTGCCCTTCCCTGTTGGTGATGGGAGTTCAGCTGAGGAGTAACTTGTTTGTAGACAGATAAACTGGAGCACTATTTAGCTATACTCTCCTTTTGCTATTTAAACCCTCTACCACCACCACCACCTCATTATTTTATGTGATTGGGGCCAATTTTATGTTCTGAAACAGGCTGTGCAATCCGTGGGTCATGGCTGCTCCTGCTGTATGACTGAAGCCAAAGAATTCTATAAATGTTCAGTGCAACTAGTAGAAGCAATGTTTCTTAAGACTGTTGTGTGGGGAAGAGGCTTTCACCTCCCTTACCCACTGCCTGTCATCTTAGAGCAACTGACAAACTTATTTCCCCACTGTTATCAGCAACAGAGAATGAGCAGCTTTTGTGGGAGTTGCCAGAGGACAGGAATTGCTTCCACCACTTCTTTAGTAATCCCAGCAGCTCAGTGATCAAGGAGGGGAGTTTTAAATTTACCCAGTGTTGCATTCTGAGAAATTTGGTAGAGGTGGGTAGAGAGTGTATAAATGTAAGTTATGTGCGTGTACATGCATCTCTGTGTGTTATCATCAGATCCAGTGGAGGGCGGGGATGCAGTCCCATGGCTAAGGCTGAGGAAGGATGCAACCACCAGCCTCATGGGGTTTTGTATCTGGAATGAAAGGGGAACACCATTCTCTTGTTCTTTGCTTCAGGCATTCATATCTCTAGGACCTGCCCTGTTAGTGTTCTCCTCTAATGTTAAGACTGTCATTGTTTTATCCTGGGATGTAGCCCCAACAACAACCCAATGGATATCAAGCTACTACAGGCGTACCTCTGTTTACGAATTGATTGATTGATTGATTGAATTTGTACCCCACCCACTTAGTCAACTGACTACTCTAGGCGGCTAACAGCATATAAAATAAACCATTTAAAATATGGAACAAATAATATATCAGTAGACAAAGACTCAATGTGAAAAAAACAAAATAAATCAAGAGGTGGCTGGAGGGAAGGCTTGCCTGAACAGCCAGGTTTTCAGTTAGCATTTGAAAATGCCCGGCGAAGGGGCATGCCTTCTGCAGGATGCCTTCTCCAGGATGTTTTGTAATGCGAAAATTCACAAACTGAAATGTGGTTTCCCATAGGAATGCATGTACGGGGGCAGCGCTATAAATCTCCCAAGTACAATGCAAACTTGCTTCTTATTGTAGAAAAGATTCGTAAACCGAGGCATTATTTTCAATGAATTTACTTTCATAAACCGAGGTGTTCATAAACTGAGTTACCACTGTATGAAGAAAGTCTCTTCTTGTCAAAGCAAGAAGGATCATTCCATATGTTTCATCATATGCCTAAAGCCTGGAAGAGTTACTTTCATGGGCTACAGGTTCCTGAATTGGCCAGTCAGCATAACTAGTGTCCTTGCTGGCTGGAGTTTCTGGGTGATACAATTTTTAAAAGCTAATGTTTCTGAGCTCTGGATATGATTGAATGTATGTTGGCTACTGCTCAGTGCACTTAATACCTAAACTGGCTTAGCATATCCTGCTCGGGTAGCTGCAGTCTCTAATTGGCTAATGTCTGGGCAGCTGCTAAACTGGGTTTGAGACATTAGCATCCCTCCCCCCACCTCCTTGTGCATAAGCTAAATTGCAATAGCCCAGACGTGAAATAAGATCGCTACAGGTCAAGGGGCTGATGACAGTAAGTGCTTTTGTCCTGCTCTTCTTTTCTCATCTGGAAGTCATTCTTGCATAAAATATGACACTTATAAGAACCATGTATTTTAAACACTGTCGTACTGCACTCTGAAAGTAAAGAGGCAGACAATTGGGAAGTCGTTCCTATTTATTATTTGAAGAGTCTGTACTTGTCTTTTCACTTCCAGAAAAGAAGTGTCTCAATGAATATAAAAAATATTAAAAGTACACAAGGGAACACATGAAGAACTGTATCAGAGCAATAACCTGTTTAGTCCAATGTTCTTTTCCTGTTGCCAGCAGAACATGAATGCATAAACCACAACTATCCATAAACCTTAACAAGCTAAAGAGTAAATACAAACAAAAGTAAATACAAACAAGCAAGCAGACAAAAAAGAGCCAAAACTAATAGTTAACAAATAAAACTGCAAAGGGCAGCAGTAGCTGCATTCATCTTCTGCTGCACAAACACAAAAGCTTCTTGTGGCAGCAGAAAGACTAACAAATTTAAACTGGCATAAACTTTTAGGGACAACATCCCACTTTATCAGATGCAGCTGAAGGATGAAAGCTTATGCCAAATAAAGCTTGTTAGTCTTTCAGCTGCCACAAGACTCTTTGTTGTTTAAATTAAATTAAGCAACAGGGGAGATAAATGGACTGCAGGAAGCCTTCCTCTGCAGTGCCACCAGCCATGTGTCTGGAAGAAAGGCGCATACAAAGGACACAACCAAGATCTCCTCTAAGTTTCTGGAGCACTGTGTGGGAGCCCTGCCCCATACACAGGGAGTTCAAAATTCATCTTAAGCAAATGAGTGGCCCTGATCTAGCACTGCACAGCCACACAGCTGTGCAGATTAGAGGGAACATGCGACACAACAATGTTAAAAGGATGGTTAGATTTATGTGGAAGCACATAGTCCTTCAGGATGCTAGGCCCAAAGTTATTTAGGGTTTTAAAGGTTAAAACTGGTACCTTGAATTAAACTTGGAAATAAATTGGTGCCCTGTTCTTGTGACACAGTAAAATGAGACATTCAGTCCAGCATTTTGCTCCTGCAAAATTCTAGTAGCAGCATTTTGATTGTGCCTTAGCTGATATTTCAGTGTGTCACACAGATCCTCTTTCAGACTAGGTTTTTATCATTCTAATTTCAACACACAGTGTGACACATACTAGCTAGAGAGGAGGGCATGAGAATTTGTTTCACTTAGGAGGATGACCTCTTTCAAGGTAATGGGAATGCTACATGGAGAGCTTGCAAAGTTTCAGTGTTTCTGCTGCTGTTTCTCAGGTGACATTTTCACTGATGATTGGTCCAGGACAGAGCTGAACTGCAATATGTTTTCCCCCCCTCTCTCTGTCCAAGTAGATAAAGCCCTATGTTTTGAGACACAAAAGAAACAACATAATAAATTGTGATATATCATGGAACAAAGTTTTGAGCTTTACAGCACTCCTTTCTGTTTGTTGAAGTACTCAGCAGAGCAGCTGCCATTTTAATTGTTTGATGCTGCTTTTTTTGGGTACTCAGTTAAAATCAGACTATTTTGGGTTTCTTTCACCTTATAATGCAGTGTGGTGGCCAACAGAAAGCACTGCAAGGAACTATGGGCCGGTCTTTGAAGAACAACCGCGCAACATCATTTTCCCAGAAGGATCTACAGAGGAGCAAATACTGTTGGCGTGTCATGCACGAGCCAGCCCTCCTGCAACCTACAAGTGAGACTTCTTGCTTTCAGCAGTGCTTTTGTTTCATGGAAGGTTTTCTGGTTGTGATACACACAAGGGTGTGCCACCATTTTTGTTTTTGAAAACTGGCAGCACATCTTGTCCAATAAATTAAATAAATTAAATGGGATTTAATGCTGGATAAGAATAGGGCTTCATCTTAAATGTGCTGATTGTGCTTTAAATGTATCCCATAATATCTTATGAGCTCAGAAATGAGTGTCTTGGGTTATGATGCAGAAATCTCAGATTTAAAAATAAAAAAAATCCAAATTCTATGTCTAGAAGACAAAAGACAAAAAGGAAAAGTTAAACAAACTTTCTAGAGGGATACAGAGTGTGTGGGAAGCAAAGCTAGGAAAGCTACTTTTTAAATGCAGTGGTGCCTCGCTTAACGATTGCTTCGTACAACGAAAAATTCACTTAACGATGGCTTTTTCGGAGTGATCTTGGGCTTTACTTAACGATTTTCCTTATGGGCGATTTTTGCTTAACGATTTTGGGACCATGCTTCGCTTAACGTTTTTGGTTTCAGGTCCCCTTGTTTCGCTTAACGTTTTTTTTTACAGCCCCATTTTTGCTATTTTTAAAATATTCTAAAATGTTTAAAAATGTTTAAAATGCTTGGAATCATTAGTGCACCTAATAAAACCTTCATTAACTTAATTTGGCTTTGTTCTGAGTCTTTTTGAATTTTNCCCAGTAGCTGACTATGATCACAGCTACCTATTTAACAGTAATTCTTTATGTTTCCCAAAATAACTCAGATAGTTACTTCATCACCTCAATATCCACAGGAGAATAGAGGCAGTGGTATAAAATACAACATGAGCCATCATTCAATCCATGTGAAACTCTTTCTCTACCATTTAACAAGAAGCATGTTCTTAGAACAAAAAAAGTTATAATGCCACAAAATGAATGGTATTTATCTTATGTTGAGTTACAGTGATAATGTAACAAAAATATATTTTAGTAATTGCAAACACTATAACTAGCTACTTCTAAGATCTGATATAGTCATGGATGAAGCTGGGAGACTTGAGTGCAGATGACTAGATCTGGGGAGCAAGAAGCTCAACAGATAACATTTCCAAGACTCTAGCTCTATATCCTGTCTTAATGCAGTATGGACTGACCATATGTTGCCTGTCTGCCATTGATTTGTTTTTGATTTATTGGGTGAGGATTGCTTTATCTGTTGATAAATGGGGTGCAGCATTTACTATTTATTTAAAATTTATTTTATTGTATATTATTTTGTTTATATTGCATGTAAACTGCCTGGAATAGTATTTACCACTAATTGGTGCAGTATACAAGAGACGTACACACACACACACACGTACGTACGTACGTACATACATACATACATACATACATACATACATACATACATACATACATACATACATACATCTTATCTCTTGTAATAATCTTTAAAATCTCTTATATCACCAAATAATCCTTGGGACTGGGATCTTCTTTAGCATTAATGATAATGAGACCTTTTTCATGATACAGCCTCACTGTCCTATGGTAGGTCCTGTTGACAGAGCGTGTGTAAATGCCAGTGTCTATTCCTCTTCAGTAGACACTAGTGTTAATGTTAGTTGCCACTGTGATTGTTCTGTTCTGTTCCTTTTCTCCCACCCCAAATACCATTGTTTTGGCAGGTGGAAACTGAATGGCACAGAGATCAAAATTGAGCCGGATTCCCGCTATAGATTGAATGGGGGCAACCTTGTGATAAGCAACCCAGTGAAAACCAAAGATACTGGATCTTACCAGTGTGTGGCAAACAACTCTGTGGGCACAGTACTCAGCAGAGAAGCTTATGTTCGCTTTGGCTGTAAGTAATCTATTTAATCTTTACTGGACTTTTCTGAAGTTAATTCACATAAAAAGAACAGAGCTTGGAAAACCTGTCTTTTAAGACTACAATTCCCAGAAGCCCCAGTTATTACAGCCAGTAGCCATGTTGGCTGGGGGATTCTGAGATTTATAGTCCCCCCAAAATTATAAATTTTAGAAGTTTTGAGGAAGAACCACAAGACACAAGATGTGTGAGAAATGTGGCACAAGCAATGGACAGCACTATTACAGAAAACAACAGTCAGGGTAGAAGTGAGGCACCAGTGCATACTTACATATTATTATGCTTGATAAGGACTGAAGTCTTCCAAGGGCAGGCTGAGAAGAGTGAAGGAGTGAAAAAAGAAGTGGGGGATTGGAGGATAATAGGGGTCTGCTGTCTCAATGATCTCTTCCATTAACCATGAGACCCAATTCAATTATGAGGAGAATAGAGTCAAACAAAACTGAAAGCACTATGAAGGAGGTGATTCCCCCTGCCAGAGTCCTGCCATGAGGAATGAGCAAGGGATTCAGGCACCTTCACAGAGGCTCTGAGCCAGCATATGGCCCTTGGGAGACAATGGTATGGACCATGAACACTGGGGGTAGGACAGCCAGTGGCTGGAAAATAGCGCAGGCTAAAACTGGCTGCCATCCTTCTGGGTTTGTTGATGCAGTAAGAGTTCCAAGCCTAAATAGACTGAGTGCTTGGTGATTCTCCCACACCTGTGTTTGAAACCTTTTACTATAAGATTTGCAAAATCTCTGATGAGAAGGTAGGTATGACAGGTGTCATTTTCATCATCATTCTTTATTATGGTCACAAAGCAGCAAGATTATAGAAAACAGAACTTACAGAAAGAACTCCTATATGTAGTATATGAATCCTTCTTTCAAGGTGATTGCAACATTTTCTCTCTAGTTCTCATAGCAATCAATAAAAATTTAGATACCCTGTCAGTAATAATGTGTATCATCCTTGAGGTCAAGATGTACGGGGATTATTTATGAACCATAGTTGCTTCCAAAATGGTTGCCTGTTTGTATGGGGCATAGTAGTTTTAACCTTTTAAAGCTGTGAATGCTTTAGATTCAGGTTAGCCTGAGGATTCTCTTTTCTATTTATTTTATTTATTCATTCATTCATTTAATTTATACTCTGCTCATTGCTCATTTATTTATTTGTTTGTTTGTTTGCTTGCTTGCTTATTGGATTTCTATTCTGCCCATTTAGACCGAAGTCTACTCTGGGCGGCTAACAACAGTACAAATAATGACAATATAAAATAAAGCAACAACAATAATACAACAGAAGATGACAATGAAGTAAGTTAGGTATTGACTGGAGGGAAGGCCTGCCTGAAGAACCAGGTCTTAAGTTTGCTCTTAAAAACACCCAGGTGAATTTCCAGGGGAAGATTGTTCCAACAATGAGGGGCCACTGCCGAGAAGGCCCGGTTTCTTGTTTTTTTCCTCCGGGCCTCCCTTGGCATTAGGCCCCTCAGCTGCCTATCCTGGCTAAAACGAGTGATTCAGGTAGATCTAGGTGGGAGGAGGCGTTCCACTAGATATCGAGGTCCCAAACCATTTAGGGCTTTATATGTCATCATTAACACTTTGAAATCATTGTGGAAACAAACGGGCAGCCAATGCAGGGCAGCCAGAGTGGAGGAGATATGTTGATCTTTTTTCACCTCAGTGAGAAGTCTGGCCTCCGCATTTTGCACCATTTGAAGCTTCTGCACCAATCTCAGAGGTAGTCCCATGTGGAACGCATTACAGTAGTCTAATCTTGAGACTACAAGCACATGGACCAGTGTGGTGAGTGCCCCGACATCAAGATAGGAACGCAGCTGGGCAATCTGCCAAAGATAAAAGTAGGCGGTGCGGACCTACTATGTGGGTTTCCATAGTAAGTGCCGGATCCAGATAGACCCCCTAAGCTGCAAACCTCATGGTGAGAATGGAGCCCATTACAGTAGTCTAATCTTGAGACTACAAGCACATGGACCAGTGTGGTGAGTGACCCGACATCAAGATAGGAACGCAGCTGGGCAATCTGCCAAAGATAAAAGTAGGCGGTATGGACCTCTGACACTATGTGGGTTTCCATAGTAAGTGCCGGATCCAGATAGACCCCCTAAGCTGCAAACCTCATGGTGAGAATCACCCCAGCAAAAGAGAGGGAGTTTCCCAAACCATCAATGGCAGAGCTACCTATCCTCAGGACCTCTGTCTTGTCCAGGTTCCGCCTCAGACCATTCACCTGCATCCACTACAATACAGCCTCCAGACAGCACTGAAGGGATGAAACGGCATCCACCGTTGTTAGGAAAAAGATGTAGAGCTGGGTGTAATCAGCATACTGATGACATGAGGCCCCATACCCACTGATTACCTGACCCAGCGGTCTCATGTAGATATACTAATTACCTGACCCAGCGGTCTCATGTAGATATTAAACAGCATTGGGGAGATAATCGAGCCCTGTGGGACCCCACAATTGAGGTTCCATGGAGCCGATGGACTCTCCCCAAGCTGTACTCTCTGAGGTCAGTAGTCCAAGAAGGATCAGAGCCAGGCAAACACCAGACCACCAATTCCCAACTCAGAGAGACTCCCCAGGAGGATACCGTGATCAACAATATCAAAGGTGGCTGAGATATCAAGGAGGACCAACAGACATTTTGCCCCTGTCAGCTTCCCTCAACAGGTCATCAAACAGGGCAACCAATGCCATTTCTGTACCGTGGTGTGGCCTGAAGCCCAACTGGAATGGATCCAGAGCATTGGTTTCATCCAAAAGGGTCTGGAGCTGATTGGCCACCATCCTATTTACCACTTTGCTAAGGAAAGAAACATTGGGCCTATAATTGCCAGTGTCATCCACTGCCAAGCTCAGTTTCTTCCTAATGGGTCTAATGAGTGTCCCTCCTGGAGAGACCCATTAATTATTGCAGTGGCCCATTCAGTTGTTATAGGCCTGGCTTCTTTGATTTGCCAGGCCGGGCAAGGATCAAGGGAGGAGGTGGTGGCATGACAGTGATCAAGCACTTTGTCTACCATATGTGGCATCAAAGGCTGAAAGAGATTAAGTCTCATTGGGCAAGGCAGAGTGCTGGACATCTTTGCTCAATCTACTGCATTCAAAAAAGGGAAAAGATCCTGGCAGATGGTCTCCACTTTATATTTTAAAAATGCTGCAAATTGGTCAGGTGAAATACTAGTTGGAGGCCTATCACTTAGACCAGTTTCAGATAGATCATGAACTATATGGAAAAGTTTCACCTGCTCATTTGAAGCTTTGCTTATCTGGACAGCGAAGTAAGCTCAACTGGCAGCCCTTATCCTGGTAAGGTAAAGCTTAGTCATGATCCTAACAACTTTTCTATTATAGTCCATTGGGTTTCATCTCTAAATGCACTCTAGCCTTCTCCTATTCTGCTTCATAGCTTGCAGCTGCTGGTTAAACCAGGGTGCTGAACGAGCTCTGCAATGGAGAGGGCATTTAGGAGTGATCATATCAACAGCCCTGGTAGTGGTGGCAAACCAGCCATCAACCAGAGCCTCAACAGGAGCGCCAGTCAGATCAGCCAGAATCCCTCTCGTGGAGTCCTGGAATCCTATAAGTTCCAGTAATCTTCAGGGGTGGACCATTAAAATAGGTCTTTGCTCCCTGCAGGGAGGGAGAGCCACTGAGAGGTTGCATTTTATTAGGCAGTGATCAGACCATGACAAGGGGACTGACACAAGGTCAGTCACGATCAGACCACACTCATTCCGCTCAGGGGGAAACACGAGGTCTAACATGTGACTGCCCACGTGGGTGGGGCCGTTGACATGTTGGGACATGTCCAAGGAAGCCATGTTTTCCAAAAACTCAAGAGCTGCACCAGAAACCTCCACCTCCACATGGATGTTGAAACCACCCAAGACTAAAAGCCTTGGAGACTTGAACAGTGCCACGGAGATGAAGTTGCCAGCTTGGGAAAGGAAATGGCTGGATCACGGGGAGTGCAGTAACCCAGCAAGATCCCAGTTCCATCCCTGGCCCCAGTCACCTCTGAGATTGGTGCGGAAGCTTCAAATGGTGCAGAATGCGACAGCCAGACTTATCACTGGAGTGACAGTGCCATCAGACTCAAGGTAGTCAGACCAGCCATCCCTCCACTCTAATTCTGGTGTTGTTGAACGCCAGGTGTGTATCCAACAAATCCCAGATTATCCAAGAATTTATCCTGGAGGAGGATGCAGACCTGACATGCATAACTGAAACTTGGATGGGCAGGTAAGGGGGTGTTCCCTTGACCCTTGCCTGCACTCCAGGTCATGCAGTCCAACACCAGGGGAGACTGGAGGGGCAGGAGGGGAGTAGACATTGTCTATAAAAACATTCTAGAGATTGTTAGGGGCTCTGCGGTGGTGACGCTAGGTCTTGAGGAAAATAGAATATTATGCCTGCCAGGTCTTGAGGAAAATAGAATATTATGCCTCAGCCTTCTGCCATAGTATTAACAAGTCTAAGGAATAGGCTCTTTTTGGTAGGGGCAGCTGCTCCATAGAACCTGTAACAGATACACACATACATCCCCAAGGTGGTTTAGTGGGTAGAGTAACAGACTATGACTCAGAAGGCTGGGGGACTCAGAAGGCTGGGGAACTCACCAGGGGCATGGAGGCCCTATATATGTAAATAGGGATTCAGAAGGCTGGGGTTTAAATTCCCTCTCAGCTATGGGAACTCACCAGGAGCATGGAGGCCCTATATATGTAAATAGGGAAAAAAACATGTCAAATATTACAGTGCTTCTGAATCTGGCTAATTTTCTCTGGCTAAAATCTAATAGTTACTAATGAATAGACTGGAACCCTTGACTCACTTAAACTTACAAAAATGTTCACTTACCAAGTTCCCATTAATTCAATGAATCTACTCTACTTGGGACCAATGACTGATTCCTTTATCTTTCCACGTGTTTAGTATTTGTTTCTGTTTCGTTGTTTTATTATTGACATTGATCTGTTTTGAGTGTTTTATCCTTGTTTTTAATAATTCCTTTCTTTTTTTTATGTTAAGCCATTTGAAAGTCCGCTTAGGACCAGAATAGTAAGATAAAAATAAAATTACAGAGAGATAATATTGACTTTTCCTGTTCATTCACATCATCCTGGTCTTGATTCATCTGCAATAATTCTCTCAATCTCCATTTTATATGATGGGAATCCAATTCCTTACAACCAGGCTTATCTTTTTTCTACCTGAGAAAATTCTGATTTGTAAGAGTTGTTGACCTTCAGAGCTCATCTAATTGCCTTTCTATGTTTTTGTGTGAGTTTAGTTTTACAGGAATTCTCTACAGAAGAGCGAGACCCTGTGAAGGTTACAGAGGGCTGGGGGGTGATGTTTACTTGTAGTCCACCCCCACATTATCCAGGTGAGATAGCATCAATGCATTACAAATGAAGGGTCTCGGATTAAGGATGGGAAATGCCAGTATTTTCAGAATTTTGTATCAGTATCAGAGTACACACTTATTATGTACCTGTGCATAGTCTTGTTCAATATTTCATTAAAGCAGTTTATTTCCTGCTATAACCACTTATTTCTAAGTGCGGAGATTGTCTTTGCAAAATACTGAAAATTAGCTGACTTTCTCTTTACAAGTATGCTGGGTAAGGTTTTTGGTTTAGCAGAAATGGATAAACAAATCGGTTGTCTCTGAAGAAGAAATGGAATCCATTTTAATATTTTACAGTTCGATAAAATAATGGAGTCTATATATATTTTTAAATGTAAAATAACAAATATTTCTAATATTTCTTGGAATTAGTTAACAGCTTTTAAAGTTGATCCTCTTTTTACTTAAAAATATCTTATGCCTGATAGTTGGAGTTGTGAAAATTCATATCAAATGGAAGCTATGGAAATTTATATCAAATTTAAGAGGACATACAGTTCTTTGCGGTGCAGGCAGTTGAAACGAGAAGAGCTCTGAGAATCTTGAGTTGCTCTTTTCATATCAGAATGCCTGTGATCTTTCATTTTTGTGTCAGTGAATTATAGACTTCTCATGTGAACTCTGGAAATGGGAACTGATAATTGCTAAAGTTTGCATGTCACAAGGTGATATATCCGCATTTTGTGCATTATCAAATATATATTTGAATATTTCAGTGCTGTAATTTCAGTTCACCTCCAGTTTCCATTGTGCAGGTTTTGATTATCAGGAATTGCATTGCATATAAAAAGAGAGCACTGAACGAAAAGCCTGTCTCTTGAGAGAGAGAAAAGGTTTTCTGATACAGAAATATCTGACGATTTCTTTGAAGTTCTAAGAGTCATGGAATTGTAAAATGTTAGCTCAGAAGCTTCTGTATGAAAAGCTATGGGTATCATGCAATTAGTCAGATGAAGAAAGCAAGCAATAGATCCAAAGTTCTACTCTAGTAGTTTGAGGACAATGGGTTCAACTCTCTATAAAGGAATACAGTGAAAGACTTATTGAGCATACACTTTAAGAACAAGTACATACATTTTATTTCTTTGTTTGTTAGGCAGTAGAGTATGTATACTGGTCTATTGGTTCAGAATGAATGAACAGGAAATAGACCTAGCTATGTCTCCAACTGAGAAACAACTTGCTAAAGTCAAATAGCTTAACACTTTTTCTCCATTTACATGCAGGAATTGAATACCGCTGGTTTGTGAATGACTTCCCCAACTTCATTCCAACGGATGGAAGACGTTTCATCTCGCAGACCACTGGAAACCTATACATTGCTAAAACAGAGGCCTCTGATCTTGGCAACTATTCCTGCTTTGCCACTGGCCACATTGACTCCATTAAAAAGAGTGTTTTTAGCACATCTTCTCAGCTTAATCTTGTTAGAGAAGGTCAGTGCATTAAGACTGCAAAAGAATGTAATGCTCATTAGGCAGATTCTTTTGAGGGAAACAGATCTAGGGGACCTGGCTCCAGTTACACATATTTCTGAGTCACAACTGCACAACTTGTAACACATCATTACATATATAGCTTGCCATCCATCTGTGGTGACCCATGAGGTACTCCCTAAACCCCCTTTTCTTGCTTATCTGGATTGGCAAGAACAATATTTGTTGAGTAGCATTATACAAGGTGCCCTGCATTGTTGGTAAGACACATTTGGCTTGTTGGGGAAGAAGTTGTACTCCCTAACACAGATGGATAGCTAGTTATGGTTTTCACTGTAATTGCTGTAATGTATCTAATACTGTAAAATCAAGTAATGGAGTCAACAGCTGCAGCAAGGAAGACCAGAAATGAAATGGGAGGCATTGATACTGAACAATGGGTTGAATCTAGATTTAGTTGTTTGCAGCTAGGAAGGTAGAAATCGGCTTTGCTGTGCCCTCCAACTCTGTGAAAAGATTGACCTCCACAAAATTTCAGGGGATCCTGCTAAATGAAATGGGCTAGGATGGGACATTTTGTGAGTGGAGATGTTACAGTAGCAAAAGGCAGACTCTGGGTCCAGCCTAGTATAATTATTGTCTGATTAAAGCAATAAATAAAGCCAGGCTTTTGCTCAAAAGAGGAAAAGTCAATTATATTCCATGGAGAAAAGGTAAGTGCATCCCTAATATGTATAGATAGAGAAGGAAATAAAACTATAGGTGGGTTAGGCAGCCGAGAATGCTCAATAGAAACTCCAGTTTGGCATGTGAAATGCGTCTCAGGGCCAAAATAGACAGAACAGAACAGCCATTTCTTTTGTATATTTACCTCACTCGAATATAAAGAAAGGATGGAGAGGTCTAAGTAGTGGAAGGGTTATTAACTTGGGCTCCTGGATGAAGAAAGCGTGTCTCCCTTCTCTGCCTGCTTTCCTTGTGCCTCTTGATTTGAATCACTTTTCCCACGTTATTAACTTGGCTCCTGGATGAAGAAAGCAAGTGTGTCTCCCTTCTCTGCCTGCTTTCCATGTGCCTCTTGATTTGAATCACTTTTCCCACAGCTCACCAACAATATAAGAGGTCAGTGAGGCTGAGGAGAAGATTGGTTAAAGCAACAAACCACAGCTAGATAGAAGAGAAGAAGGGGTGGGGTTTCCTTTTTTTCACCCATAAAACAAACCCATTTCCAAGAAGATAGGGTGCTATAGCTTGCCTGTCTCCCACTTTTTTATGTGAACAGATTAGACAAGAAGTTAAACAAACACACATCAGTTGTAGTCTTCGGCTCTGTAATTAAAACTACAGTGGTGCCTCGCATTACGACGTTAATTCGTTCCAGCGAAATCGCTGTAGAACGAAGACATCGTAATACAAAAATAAAAAATCCATTGAAACGCATCGAAACCCTTTCAATGTGTTCCAGTGGGCTGCAAACTCACCGTCCAGCAAAGATCCTCCATAGGGTGGCCATTTTCGGTGCCTGTGCAGCGAGGAATCCGTCCTAGAAAACAGCGGGGAGCCATTTTATTTACCCGGTGGCCATTTTGAAACCACCGATCAGCTGGAGGAAAATCGTCGTTTTGCGAAGAATCGGTTCCCGAAGCAGGGAACCAATCATCACAAAGTTAAAAAAAACCATTCAGACCATTGTTTTGCAATCGCAATTGCGATCGCAAAAAGATCGTCGTAATGCAGTTTCATCATAACGCGGGGCAATCGTAATGCAAGGCACCACTGTATATCAAACAAAAAGTTGGAGTGGGGAATAGTGTCTTTCCTGTCATTTCCATCACATGCAAATCTTTGTGATATTCACTAGCCAAGACTTTCCTGCTGTTGGGAGTATAGGAAGCTGCTTTAGACAAGTCAGATCATTGGTCACATCTAAGTTGAATCAGGCCTTTTTTAGCTTTTGTTCCTGTTAAAAAGCGTGCTGTTAAACTGTTGACACAGGTGACTAGTATTGTAAACACAAAAATGGGCACTTGTTATACCCCACACTGAAATGTTGCAATACAGGGCAGGACATAAGTATTCTAAATAAATAAATATACTTAAAAGAAAAGGTATTTTTGTTATTGTGGGATTTGAAAGGTTTTACGTTTTAATCTTGTAAAGCATCCAGAATAGTGCTTGTACCAATGGGAGGGGGTGTTGGTTGGTTGGTTGGTTGGTTGGTTGGTTGGTTGGTTACGTACGTACGTACGTATACGTACGTACGTACATACATACATACATAGATACATACTCTGTGAATATGAATTTAAAGGGGACCACAGCTCAATGGTAGAGCAAATGTTTTGAGTACAAAAGGTCCCATTACAGTTCCTGGGGTCACCAGGCATGACTGAAGAAGATCCCTGCTTCAATTCTGGAGATCCATTCTCACTCAGTGTATATAGACAATGCAGTAAGGAGCTGCAGAAACAGATGGTCTGATTCAATGTGAAGCAGATTCCTTTGATCCTAGCTAGTTCCAGAATCAGTTCTAATACTAGGCGGAGTGAAACAGCTGAGGCTGGAAAGCAAAATGTGTTGGGCTGAGCCAGGCTGACTCTTGGAAGAGGTGAACCAGGATTTCCTCATTCACAGTTATTCAGTAGTACTTCAATCTCTACCGGAGTAGTGTAGGACATGACTAGACCAGTTACTTTTTGAGGTATCAGACCATACAGATTAAGGGATTCTGGGAATTCTGACCAAAATAAATAATTTGTCCAAGGGCTGGATAAGATTATACAGCAGCAAAATTGTTTGCTTTACTCCCACCCCCGCTTGTTTTTTTTAATCAGAGGTTAGACATTATCACACCTTTTTTTTTGCCTTTGGGTGAAACACTGTTAAATAGTGATGCTGTTTTGCATTCCAAAGAGACTCCAGAGTTCTTCAATCAACATGTTCTTCTCCTTTCTGTACTTCTTTCCCATTAATTTTACTTTGAATGAACGCTATGTTACTGAAGTGGTCTAACTTTCTGTATACTGTATTATGTTTTTTACAGCTTCTTGGTCCTTATTCATTTTTCTTAGTAATTCTTTGTTCATCTCCCTCCTGATCCAAGAAATTTTTAACTTTTGTGATACATCCACATTACTGCAGTCTTTTTTATAGTTGACTGCATTAAAGTGCACCATTCCATTCTGTACAGTAGAAGCAAGAACACACAACACCATATAGCTCACATTATCAAAGCAAATTTTAAAGTTTTGATGTTTATTGCATTCATTTTCATCATAAGGAAACTACCTCAGCCATCTCTACTCTGATTTGCATTTTACGACTATGATCGTATTGTTTCTTCAACAAAATTACAAGGTCACATATATTTGCCACCATGCTCCACACTCTCATTTTTCAATCTTTAACAACATTTCTTGAGCTGCCTTTTTACTGATTACCATGAACTTGCTTTCCTTAGTATTCTTTATTTATATATTTGCTGCTTTCTTATTGAATTTATAAAGTAACTCTCTTTGCAGAACTTCTAAATTGTCAGCTAATAATAGCGTATCATCTGTATACTGGACATTGTAAATAACCTTCCTGTTGCCAATGGTACTGTTATTTGACATAGCAAGTGCTTTTCTAAAGGTCTTCTCATCATAGTACAAATTGAAAGGCAGTGGTGAGCATATACAGTCTTTTCATACCCTGCATATTTCTATGCCCTGATCTTCAACCTTCACTGCAGGATTTTGTTGCCAGTATAGTTTTCTAACTATATGAATATTTTGTTACCAACAGTTCTGTCAGTTTGTCTGTTGGACTTTGTTAGAGTCTTTCTTATAGTTAATATAGCAAGTATATATATCCACATCCACCTCACAATTGACATCTCCCCAAATTAAGATGTTTTGACTTTACTATAACTCTTGCAGATAAATACTTCTGTTACCCTTTTTATATTTCAGAAATGTGTATTTTTAGAATATGAAGAGCTTGAGTGCCTACACTTTACAATGTCCTGATACTCTCACCCTGCCTGATCCTATTCATTCTTCTCTCCTCCTTTTCACAGATTCTAGGCCATATGCCCCAACAATCAAAGCCAAGTTTCCCTCTGACACTTATGCTCTGGCTGGGCAGCTGGTGGCTTTGGAGTGTTTTGCCTTTGGGAAGTGAGTACAGTTGTGTCAGTTGCATTTAGATTCTTCTTGTTGGCACCTGAAAAGTTGCAGACAAGTGTAGTCATGAACTTGGTAAGACAGAGTCTGCTTCCAAGGGTCAAGAATGCAGAAAGATGGGCTACCATTTTAAATGACTGAGAAGCTCTGCCCTCCAGAGAGTTTGTGAATTTAATTCTCATTGTCTCAAACATATACCATTTAATGCCACCACATTTGCTTTCTGTTATAGAGTGCTTGATGTGAGTCAGTGAACTATTCTGATTGCCTCTTTCATAAGTTGGGTTTTTAATAACATTATTACTATTTTCTTTATACTTGCACAACTTTTGGTTACTGAGCAATAAATGTCAGCTATGGTTTGGTTTACTGTAGGCTCTGTTTTTAAAGTTAGATCCAGAATGGGTGATGTAATACAGTAAGAATACTTCTGAGTACATGTAGAGAACACACAAAATAATGAATGATTGCAAGTGCATACTAGAATCTTGGTTTCAGTTGTGATTTCTAAGCAAGGATTGACTTATAGCAGTTCTCTTAATTTGACAATGAAGCTCTTTGTTGACAGATTTAAGGAAATGGTAATTGACTAATGAAACAAAGGATAAAGTTTGGCCAGTTTATTTATTATATTTATTTATTTATTTTAAGTAATTGACTAAAGAAACAAATTATAAAGTTTGGCCAATTTAAAAGGGATGTGTGTGTGGCGATCTTCACAATTAGGGAAGAAGAAGAGTAGTTATTTGTTGTTCCTATTGTACTGTCCGGTTTAAAAGGGATGTGTATGTGGCGATCTTCACAATTACGGAAGAAGAAGAATAGTTATTTGTTGTTCCTATTGTACTGTCCCCTAAACTTGCAGTACCCTTTGACAGCAGTTTCTTTTGTCATATAGCCCTGTCCCTCGAATAAAATGGCGGAAGTTGGATGGTAGCCAGTCTTCTAACTGGATCACAATGGAGCCCCTCCTGCAGCTTAAAGAGGTTGGCTTTGAAGATGAGGGCACTTATGAGTGTGAAGCTGAAAATATCCAAGGAAAAGACACCTATCGGGGACGCATTATCATCCAAGGTAAAGCACCTTAACACATTTCTTTCCTAAGCACAATTTGCCTTACGGTTGTACTGCTGATGTTGGAATGCTATTGGAGTGGTCATCAGTTAATTTTTGTTTAGGTTCAATTGCTACAGTTTAGAGCCCTGCTTTCCAAACATGGGTCCCCAGATGTTGTTGTCCGAATCCCTGATCATTGGCTGTGCTGGCTGGGGTTTCTGAGAACTGAATTTCAACACGATCTGGAGAATGATGGCTATGAATTGCTGGCTTAGAGTGCTCCAGGTTTAATTATATGGAATGGGAATCGAAGCCTCCCTTCAAATAAGATCCTTCTTGAACTTACATAAGAGTTTATCTGATTTCTCACATAAATCATATTGTATAATCAATGGATCCTTGGAAAGCAGATAATGAGCAAAGTTTAAGGGCGAGACAAATCTGAACAGATCAAAAAAGTATAGAATTTTTGTTCAGAGGGAAGAGCTAGAACAGCGTTTTATACTTCTGCTAATGTTTTAAAAAACTATTTTTTTAAAGCCTGCTACTTGTAATGTCTCATAAATGAATCTAAAAGTTTCATTTTCTCCCATATGCAATTCTTTAAATCACAAGTTCTTTCCATCCTGAATAGAAAGAAATTTGTAAATGTTGCTGATTTTGTTTCAAAAACAAATTGAAACAAAATTCCCACTCATCTGCCATGGACGTGTTCAGTAGGTACAGCTGTAGCAGGCATGAAGAAGAGTATATTGCCTTCCAGATAGGTGCTAAAGCTGAGAAGCCCCTGAGAAACAAATGTGGTAACCCTACTTCAGAACCACGGACATGGAAGAAATGGAAGAAATGGGTCAAAAAGGATGAGCTTATGAATGTATGATTTCTCCAGATGCAATGTATTTGTGTCTATGCACATGCATGCACACTGCACTCTTTCCATCCTAAATATGAAGAAATTTGCACATTTTGCTAATTTTTAAAAAATTAAAAATGAACTGAAACAACATCTTCATTCAGCCCTACTTGTGGTGCTCTTTGTGACTATTACTACTACATCATGTATCGTTTCTGCTTTCTGAGCTAAATGCATGGACCCTGCTCTTTTGTTCCTTTTTAGCTCAGCCAGAATGGCTGGAGGTCATCACAGACAAAGAAGCTGACATTGGATCAGACCTCCACTGGAGTTGTGCTGCAGGTGGCAAGCCAAGGCCTACAATAAGATGGCTACGGAATGGACAACCGTTAACTTCCCAGGTATCTCATATATATTTTACAATTTACAGTTAGTGGTTACTACTGCAGTTTGATCTTTTTCTTGATCTGATAAGGACTAAGGTAATCTAATTCATATTACTGAATCTTTCTATATGCTTTTATTTCTCCTTATCCCTTGTTTCTTTTTCTCATTTGTTAACAAAGTATTTTACTTTTAATCAGACATAACTGAGGTGCATATGCCTATGGCTACCATATTAGTGGAGGAAAATGATTACATAGGGTCTAAATCTTAGAATAAGACTGATTTCGTTTAAAGAACTGAGACAACAGTAGCAGCAGCAGCAAAAATAATCTTAGACCTGCAGAGCTCGAATTAACAAGCCATGTAGATCCTCATGAAGCTCCTTTGCTCTTCTTTTTGGTCAGCAAGCCAGGACATTTTCAGTTCATTGAAGTTTTCTCTTCCCCCAAACTGAGGAACTAATGGTTTTGGAACAAGAGAAGATGTTAAACCAACTTCAGTCCAAAGCTTCCTATCTCAGCTTATTCTGCCTTAAATTCAGACTTGCTTCTGAGTTTACTGAATGAAATTTTTGAGGTCCTGGAGCACGGACAAACTGCCAGAGGACTGGAAAAGAGCTGGTGTGGTTCCAGTCTTCAGAAAGGGTAAAAAGAAGTGGATCCAGGAAACTACAGACCAATCAGCTTGTCAACAATATCTGGGAAAATCCTGGAAAAAATAATCAAGCAGCAGATTTGTGAGCACCTAGAAAATAACAAGGTGATTACTAGAAGCCAGCATGGGTTTGTTAAGAACTGATCATGCCAAACAAATCTCATTGCCTTGTTTGATAAAGTGACTAAATTAGTGGACCAAGGAAACACAGTGGATGTAGTATACTTAGACTTCAGTAAGGCATTTAATAAGGTAGACCACAACCTACTTCTGTGTAAGATAGAACAAAGTGGGATAGACAACACAACTACCAGATGGATTTGCAGCTGGCTGATCAACCACACTCAACTTGTGGTCCTCAATGGAACCATCTACATGGAAGGAAGTGTGCAGTGGGGACCCTCAAGGTTCTGTCTTGGGCCCAGTGCACTTCAACATCTTCATAAATGACCTGGATGAGGGGATTGAAGGAGCACTCATCAAATTTTCTGATGACACAAAGCTGGGGGGAAATTGCTAATACTTTGGAAGACAGACTCAACATTCAGAAGGCTCTTGACAGACTTGAACATTGGGCCCTATCCAGTAAGATGCAGTCCAGTGGCAGGAAAAGTAAAGTCCTGCACTTAGGCAAGAGAAACCAGATGCACAGGTACAGGATAGGTGGTACCTGGCTCGACAGTAGTCCCTGAGATTGGGATTTAGGTGTCCTGTTGGACCACTGCCTAAGGATGAGTCAGCAGTGTGCTGCAGCGGCCAAGAAAGCCAACACAGTCCTAGGCTGCATCAACAGGGGGATAGCATCAAGATAGTACCACTGTATACCATGCTGGTGAGGCCGTATTTGGATTGCTGTGTCTAGTTCTGGTTACTACAATACAAAAAAGATGACAAGGCCCTGGAAGTGCAGAGAAGAGCAACAAAGGTGATAAGGGGAGGCTAAATCCTATGAAGAACGACTAAAGAACTACATATGTTTAGCTTAACAAAGAGAAGACTGAAGGGAGACAGAATAGCAGTCTTCCAATATCTGAAGGGTGGCCACAGGGAAGAGGGCATCAATGTAGTCTACATTGCACCTGAGGGTAGGACAAGAAACAATGGATGGAAACTCATCAGATGGAGATCCAACCTGGAAATAAGGAGGAATTTCCTGACTGTGAGTACCATTAAACAGTGGAACAGCTTGCCTCCCAATGTTGTGGGTGCCCCACTGCTGGAGGTTTTCAAGAAAAGATTGGACAGCCATCTGTCCAGGATGGTATGAGGTCTCCTGCCTCCAAGGTCCCTTCCAACCCTATGGCGAGTCTGTGTTTCTATGATTCTATGATGATTACATGAAATAGCACACAGAACACTCTGTATTTTGAACTTGTATTTATCTTGGCTTAAGGGCAACCATGATTTCTGCATTCAGCGCACTTCTTTTTGTTATGTCCAATCTGCTCTTAGATATGCTACTTTAAGAAGCTGAGTAGTACAAATGTACGTCTTCCAAGTTTACAGACACATGTGTCTCTCTCTCTCTCTCACACACACACACACACACACACACACACACACACACACAAGCAGCAACAAGAGTCACAGAACATAGCAAACATGTCCAAGGTGTGTTGAACAATATACCCTCATCATCTATAAGAGATACAGTATGATAAAACACAGTTCAGAATACCTGGCTCTTGACGTTCACACCTTTATTGTTACTTAACTACTTAATTTGCTTGTCTGCACAGAATCGCATTGAAGTAAATGGTGGAAATTTGAGAATTTCAAAGTTAACAATGAATGATTCTGGGATGTATCAGTGTGTAGGAGAGAACAAACATGGCAACATTTATGCAAATGCTGAATTATATGTGCAAGGTAAGTTTTAACTATCCAAGGAGTACTTTCATACAAATATAATTAATACAGGAGTTATTTCTCCATTCTTAAATCTAAGGTTTCAGTTCTGATCTCCGAACACAGAAAAGTAAGAATTATTGTGACACACATTATGATGAATGGTATGACTTACTCATTAGTAGTTATATGTTGGATAGCACTCTAAAATCTTGGCTAATTGGTTGTTTTAAAAAGCAAGGCAACAAATGATCTGGGACTTTTGCTATGTTGTTTAAAAGTTACTTTTAAATCTTAAATTTTATTCAGTCCTGTAACCCAAGTGGAGTTCTTCTATTGCCATAACATTTAATACTGAAATAGCCACAGCCAAAGAAAGGAAGAGAGAGCACTCGGAGGATTTTAATCTGAAATGTCAAAAATTTGCTTTGGTTGAAGGGCAATATGGTATGAGTGACTCATTCTAATTTTCCTTTTGTTATTGAGGTAGCTCTTGTAGCCATTCCTCCTGAGACCTTCCTGTCAGGCATCATCTCAGTTTCTATGAAGCTTGTCTTGCAACTTCTAAGTTTGATGTAACTGAGAAAAACACTGCCTTCCATCACTACCTCATTGTCAATCTTCACAATCCTCGTTGAAGACCCAACCCCCAGGGCTCTTCCATATGCAGTGTTTCTGTCTGATTTTGTCCCCTTTTTTTTCACTTTGTGACAAGAGATCATTGTATTTATCAGGACTTGTGTCTTAACTGTTAACTTCCTAGCACAGGAGAAAATAATTCTGAACCTTGGAAGCTTCTGCAACTGAACCCACCAATTCTCACAAAAATGAGTGAGTCTTGTTTTACTGGGAAGGCTTCTTGAGGTCTTTAATGGGAAGCTCAAATGCTGCATCTGGAAAAACTTTTATTCTGGTCAGCTTCTGTATGTGGAATGGATGGACTTGAAGTCATTTTGCTGTCTGCCTTTGAAAATCAGTATTTCTGGACCATTTGTTTGAAAAAGGCTGTAACAGCAATATGAAATACAGAGAGCAAATATCTAAACAACTGCCGTTTAAAATTTACATAGTGGAGCCACATTTTGAATCCAATGATTGCCCTCAATTTAGAAGTTTTTGTTTTGAATTTGCTCTCTGAAACAGCAGCCTTTCTATTTAAAATTAAGAACTTTAGGCATAGCTCTTCAGAATTACTCATGATACCCAGGTTTTGATCACTGATTCTTCAAAGTGTCAGATGTTGTTTTAGAAATCTTTGCACTTCAAAGGTTGAGCTTTTTACTTTGATCCATTCTCTCTTTTTGGAGTATAAAACATTATCAAATTAGCACATTAATGAATTTGAATCAGGTGAGTTTATTGGATTTGTACTGGGAACATCTCCTGGTTATATTATTTTAGGTGACCGAATGAGAATGGAATGCTGCATTTGACTGCAGTAATTAAATGCATCACTGTTACTTTTGTGGTCTCCTTGAATCCACTGGGAACTGTCCTTCACCTTTCTTCATATCTCAGATTCATGAAAGCAGCCACACTGTTTTTGTATCCTCAGCGTTTGCACCTGATTTTCGGCTAAACCCTGTGAGACCTCTGATACCAGCAGCTCGAGGTGGAGAAATTATCATCCATTGCCAACCAAGAGCAGCACCAAAAGCTACTATCCTCTGGACCAAAGGGACTGAACTTCTGAGCAATAGTTCCAGGTGTGAAAACCCATGCTTTTCTCTTGGTGTGCATCAATAAACCTGGTCATGTTTTCCTTCTTAGTATAATTACCTAGTTAGCTTCAATTATTATGAAACACGGGATGGCTTAGTTTATGTTCCACCTGACTCCATGTATGTCTATTTGGAAGAGTGTTCCAAATAAAATCAGTCATTCAGAATGATGCTTTTTTCCATTCTACAAATATCTCATTAATTTATTTAGAGTAGGGCACACAACTGGTTTGGAATGCTGAGCCAGATCCAAGCCCATAAACCTTCCTCACCCACATGGACCAGATTATGTCAAGGGGCATGACCATGCACCCTGATGTTACTAGTTACCTTATCAGCCTAAGCTGGTGAGAAGCAACCCTAGTCATCACCACCATAGACTGACAGCAGACAAAGCAGCATCCCAAAGGTATGAAATCTGATTCACAGAAAAAGCTGGGTAATACCTTTATAGGCTCACTAAAAGATTACAAACAGCACTTGCTTTTGAATTCTACAGAACAGTTCTTTGGACATAGATGGTATAAAATTAAGAGATAAGGTTTTTTTTTTAAAAAAGTATAATTCAGATTTAATAGCCAATGTTCTTATTTATTTATTTATTTATTTATTTATTTGCTTGCTTGCTTGCTTGGTATGAAATCTGATTCACAGAAAAAGTTGGATAATACCTTTATAGGCTCACTAAAAGATTACAAACAGCACTTGCTTTTGAATTCTATAGAACACTTCTTTGGACATAGATGGTATAAAATTAGGAGATAAGGTTTTTTTGTTGTTTTTTTTTAAAGTATGATTTGCTTGCTTGCTTGCTTGCTTGCTTGCTTGCTTGCTTGCTTGCTTGCTTGCTTGCTTGCTTGCTTGCTTGCTTGCTTGCTTATCCCACCCATCTAGACCGAAATCTACTCTGGGCAGCTAACAACAAGTTTATAAAAACAAGTTCATAAAAATAGTAACAGTATGAGATAACAAAACAACATAATATAATTCAAGATGGTAAAAATGAATTAAATAATGACAGAAGGAAAGCCCTGCCTGAAGAGCCAGGTCTTGAGCTTGCTCTTAAAAACACCCGTTGAGGGAGCCAGGCAAATTTCTGGGGATAGGTTGCTCCAGAGACGAGGGGCCACTGCCACGAAGGCCCGGTTTCTTGTTCTTTCTCTCTGAGCCTCCCTTGGTGTTAGGCCCCTCAGCTGCCCCTCCTGGCTGGAGCGAGCGATACGGGTAGATCTAGGTGGGAGAAGGCCTTCCGCCAGATCTTGAGGTCCTAAACCATTTAGGGCTTAAAGATCTTCTGCTGGCAATAGCAAGGTAAGATGGAGATCACAGATTCCTTCCTTCTTTTTTAAAAGACCAGTTGAAAGTCTCTCCTCTTTGCTGTGACCTCTGTAAATCTGTTTATGGTCTTATGAAAGACATGGACATCACTATAAGAGCTTCTTTATACTCTGCCTTCAATGATAAACCAAGCTCAAGGCAGCTCATAGGAGAGGTTTATATAATATTCCAGCATTTCATTAGAATTCAAGCTAAACAATTACAAGTTAAAACAGAATTTAAATAGGCATATTAAAATAGGCAAATCAAAATATATCATAATAAGAAAAGTGTATTGAAATTACCCATTAACACCAATGCCTAGCAACACATTTTTAAAAAATGCACCAAACGGTGGCAAAAATGGATCTGATCCAAACCTTAATGTGGTCCCCAGAAACACCACTCCTTAGATCAGATGTTTTATACTGCATCTCCCCCACCCAATTCCAGCTGTGTAAGGACTCATTTTGGTTTGGATTTTGTTTTTTGTTTTTTTGCTGAGCTGTGTCTGCTTTTTAAACTGGACTGTGGGCAATGTACAGTGGCTACTGGGGCACTGTTTCAGTTGTCCCTTCATCCAGTCTGTCAAGGTTGCATATTTTTTATGAATAGTGTTGTATAATTGAGAGGTTGTATGAGTGAAAAGTCATAAAACAGTGGCTTGTGACCTGCAACATATGGGATATCCATTAGATGTCACTGCAGAGCACTCACCAAATAGCAATATGGAATGCACTGAATTTATGTACTAACTGAAAGTTGCTGAAACATACATTTAGATTGCAAACCTGGCAGAATATATTGATGTATCAAGCTATTCTAGTTATCTAGCAGATTGCAAACATACCAAATAGGTCACCAAGCCATTCACATAGATGCCAAAGTCCTAACTTAGCACATCGCACAATTAGCACACAGCTCTATTAGAGGACTGTAAGGAAAGCAAAGTCAATGTGAAATAATGCACAATTAGCACAATTAGCACACAGCTCTATTAGAAGATTGTAAGGAAAGCAAAGTCAATGTGAAATAATACACAGCACTCAAAATCAATAAATCACGACATTCCTAAATAATCATTTTAGCAAGCTGCCAATTGCGTGTGGGATATAAACATGATAAGGAAAGGCAAAACAGATTAAGACAGTATAAAAATGCACAGATGTGAAAGAGCACTAGCGGAAGCAGGAAGCAGAAGCAGGCAAGATTGAAAGGGCACAACATGGAGTTTCCTCCATGAATCATGCTGATTGGACCAGGTAAATGTTCTCTGTGTATAATATAGTAATCTATGTTTTACATTCATGTCTTTTTATTTTTATGATTTGTGACAATTTTGGATGTGTTCTTTGACGGAAACTGTTTTTTACTGTCTCTGTTATGCTCTTGAATTTTCGGAACATGATTTAAGCATTTTGCCTGCAACTTTTGTTGCTACTTTTCTTTTTTTTTTACTGTCTCTGTTATGCTCCTGAATTTTTGGAACATGATTTAAGTATTTTGCCTGCAACTTTTGTTGCTACTTTTGCAACTTTATGATTTTTTTGTATTTGAATCATCTTTGCCTGTAACCTTTTACAATTACACCTTATTGAATTTTGGATGATATACTGTAAGCAGTTTTGCTTGTAACTCTGTACAGTTTAAAGGATTTGGATTTTTTTTATTATTTGATGTAAGTATCTGTGCCTGTAACTTCCAGTGGTTGCAAGTTTTAAACTTTTTGCGTATAAGAGACTATGTAGATTACTAAAACTTATAAAAAGGCAGCCTGATGTTTCCTGAATTGTTTTTCAACTGAACGAATAAAATGTGACCATCTAGAGAAGAACTGCCTTTACTGTGGGTGGAACAGTGACTTGCTTTCATTCTCTGAAGAGAGATAAAACATTTAGACAATGTACGTATACCTTGATACTCAGATGGGCTTTAATATGATTGCCATACTTATCTGATCTGACACTGAAAACAAATCCTTAGTAAGGGAATGTCTGAGCAACCTCCCACAGGCTTAACTACCAAAGAGTGCTTGTCTGAGGACAAGTTTGTTTTTACCGTGCCTTTCTTCTTGAAAAGGACCCAAGGCAGTTTGCAAGATGGAAAGACAGTATTTGAAGTTTATTTATTTATTTACAATATTTTTAGCAAGATGGAAAGACAGTATTTGAAGTTGGAAACAATTGAGTATACAATGGTGGTTCACATAATTCAAAGATAATATTTAAAGCCAAGAACAATAAGGAAACAATTGAGTAAACAATGGTGGTCCACATAATTCAAAGATAATATTTAAAGCCAAGAACAATAAATAAAGAGGCATCTCACATAATTAAAAGACAATGTTAGAGCTAAGAACAATAAATATACAATTATTATGTTTTTTAAAAAATCACTTTGAGAAATTGAAAATACAAAAATGGAAAACAGAAGTGATACTAAAAATCAAATCAAAATACTAATACATAACAATCTATCTAAAAAATAAATAAACACACAGAGGTAGCTAGCTACTGTGGAAAGGCTTGCTTGAAGAAAATGGTCTTTGCCTGTTTTCAGAAGGACAACAAAGATGTTTAATGTGTTAAACTCCTTGGTTTGACAGGCTTGCCCTCCTTTCAGGTTTCTAAGCATCATTGTATTCTCCAGTGAATAATAGAAAAAGGAAAAGCATAAATAAGGAAAAGCACGAAAGCCACTTCCTGCTGACCCAGGATGCCAAATCAACAGCCCCAATCCCACCCAACCCCAAATCAAGCAAACCACTCCCTGGTTTGCCCCTTCCATTCATCACTGTTAGTCAGTGGCACATCCAGCCTGATGCTGATGCCATACATCTTGGTGCTGAGGATTCCCTGGCAATAAGGCATGCAGGGCTGGTGACCAACCAGCTTTAAGTCCTGTGTCATGCAGACACTTGAAACAGTACCAGTATTGGGGGTGCAAGGAAAGGTGAGCAAACATGGACAAGCTTATGATTTGGTGGTAAAGGATAATAGGAAATGTAGAAAAGCAATACCTGCAGAGCCAAAAGTTCCCCACCTCTGTGCTAAACAAGTTTCTTCAGCGGCAAAATCATTCTTTTAGCTGGTGTCAGTGGTTCCCCACTTCTGTGCTAAACAAGACTCCATCCTGATTGTTTCTTCAATGGCAAAATCATTCTTTTAGCTGGTGTCAGTCAAGGCCCCTCCCAAGCCAGGTGAAAATGAGCTACACAGGAGAACAGTGGGCAAATCTGTCACTTTTGGTCTTTGAGGCACCATAAGACTTGATGCTTTTCCTCTAGTCACTAGTCATTCTCACTCCCACTACCACTTTCTCTCGCTTGTTCACTCTCTCATTTTCATTCTCTGAAAAAAACTTCTCAAGCTGAACATGATGGTATTGCTCTTGCTGACCATATCTTGGGGTGCAATCCGTTAGTATTATACAATATCGTTTTTAAATACATTTTGTCTAATACTCATGGCAGAATTTGCCAGTAAGTTGATGCTCGATGTCTAGTACCTTTACCCAATGGACTGTGATTGCCAACATGATATTTAATTTTCTCCTTGAATGCTTTCTTTCCATTACAGAACTACTATTACTCCAGATGGCACTTTGATCATTCGGAATATTAGCAAGTCCGATGAAGGGAAGTATACCTGCTTTGCTGAGAATTTCATGGGCAAAGCAAACAGCACAGGAACTCTGTCAGTTCGAGGTAAGACATACATTCTTTTTCTGCTGGGGCCCAAATATAATGCAAAGGTCAACAAGACATTTTTGCCATTGTTTCTGCTTGGAAAGAGGAGGTTGTGCCATTAGTGCTACAGTATTTTGTTTTTTTTATTATTAAACAATTAAAAATATTTTGTTATTTTTTTTTACACAAACAGACCTTTTTTTGCCAGGATGATGAGATAGACTTATATGATTACTTCTTTGTATCTTCATGGTTTCTTTGTTCATATGTATGCCAATCTAGATCCAGAGGATGTTGTAATTCATCTTCATCTTTCTATCAAAGGACAGATGCCCTTTCTGTGTTATGTCAGTAGGATCTGATGCACACCCAACAACTAAAATGTAACTAAAAGTTGTCTCATTTCTTCTTCCACAGATGCTACCAAAATCACTCTGGCGCCATCCAGTGCTGACATTAATGTGGGTGAGAATATCACCCTAAAGTGCCATGCGTCTCATGATCCAAGAATGGACCTCACGTTTACTTGGTCCCTAGATGAATTTCTTATTGACTTGGGAAAGTCTGAAGGCCACTACAAGCGAGCAAGTGTGGTATGTATTGCATCTCCCACTCTGCACTACAGTCACCATGGTCCAGAGAGAACTCAGGGCTCTTTTATTTCTAGTTCTTGTTCATTGATGTATTGTATATCATCATTTCCTGGCACCCAAGATTAGGCAGACAGAATCCTGATTTGTACTGCGTCTATTTCCTTTTAAACATGTGTTGCACCATTCCAAGGGTAGCTGTAACTTTTATTCTTCTCTCCCATTCATAGAAAGAGAATATTGGAGATCTTATGATTCTGAATGCTCAGCTGAAACATGCTGGCAGATATACTTGTACAGCCCAGACAGTGGTGGACAGTGCTTCTGAGTCAGCTATCCTAGTTGTAAGAGGTAATGTGTCCTTCATTTCTTCTGCCTTGGGAGTGCTCGGCCAAAGACATCGTTCTCTTTATTTGCTCCTGCTTTCACTACCTGAAAGTCAAACCCATTTTAATTTTTGGGAGGCATCTCTGATCTCTTTACAGCAGTCCAGCAGGTGGAAATTGGTACCCTCTGGTAGTGAGGGCTTCCCAGTTAAATGGCATGTACCAGTAGCATCTCATTTATGAATTGGTTACATTCAAAACCAAAAAGAAGGGTGTGAGATCTTACTGAAAACATGTTTTCTGTTCTTTATGAATAAAACAGGGAAATATTTTGGTAACATTTGATTAAAATTTGGTAAAGGTGACAGGGCCAATCTAACAGGCATTTAGATCTAGTGGGAAGTTCAACTACTTTTCTCAAAAGACACACAATTGAGGCTCACAGATTTTTATAATGTGAAAGACCAGCCCAGTGGCAATCTAGATCGGGTTGGGCAGCCTGCAGCTCTGTAGATATTATTGGAACACAATGCCCCTCAACCCTAGACATCATAGCCAATGATGAGGGATGACAGGAATTGTAGTTCAGAAACATATGCAGCACCACATGTTGCTAGCCCCAATCTAGATAAAGATATTACTGTATGTCACAAGACATAACTTTTTGTATAGTTGTTTATAAACAAGCTGAAAATGCCTAGCTGAAATGGAATGTGTCGTTCTTTTTACTTAAAAGCAAATATAGAAATAAAAAACCCTTGAAATAAAACAGGAAACAGTATAGCATTTAGAACTCTGTCCACAAATGGATTTTCTCCATCCATGACTCCTATTTATAAACATTTGTTCTGGATTTGTTTTTTGGTTGCTGAGTTTAAGAAGTTCTTCTATTCATGAAATGGTCAACTATCTCCAGCCTCTCATACATAAAATAAATTAATAAGAAGCAAGGGAATTCATGGACCATTATTGAATATTACTCAGTATTAGCATTATTCAAGCAAGTGTTACATGCTCAGATTCCTGTATTAAAACCAAGGCACTGAAATATAGCATTTAATGTGCTAAACAAATTGTTGGGTTTATAATGCAATCTCATACACAGAGACATTGGAATAAGCTTGAATGAACATAATGAGACTCACCTGAAATTAGTGCTGTGGCATTCTAGATGAAATCATGAAATGGATTAATCATAACTACTATAAAAATAACAAGGTAGTAGTAGTAGACAGAATATGGCTATGGGTGAGAATTCTTGTCATGAAGCAAGAACAGCTAAATATTATTGTTTCTGTTGTTTCTTTCTAATAGGTCCTCCAGGACCTCCTGGGGGACTGGTGGTAAGGGACATCAAAGACACCTCTGTGCAACTGAGCTGGAGTCGAGGCTTTGATAACCACAGCCCAATAGCTAAATATGTCATCCAGGCCCGCACTCCACTCACCCCCAAATGGAAGCAAGTGCGCACCAGTAAGTGTCTTGAGGGCAGTGACCCACACTAAATATGGTCCAACGATGCTTCTCTTCTCTTCTTTAGCACTGTTTGCTCTATTTGTTCTATTCTTCTGCTTTTTGGGTTATAGATCCTGCAAACATTGAAGGTAACTCAGAGATGGCCCAAGTGGTCAACCTCATCCCATGGATGGATTATGAATTTCGGGTCCTGGCCAGTAACATCCTTGGTGTTGGAGAACCCAGTGTACCATCTGCCAAGATCCTCACCAAAGAGGCTGGTAAGTACATGTTTTTCCAGAAAGGTTGTGTGTGTATGTGTGAAAGAGAAGGGAAGGGGAGAGATTGAGCTTGAGAAAGAGAGACAGAGATGAGCTACATCGTGCTGGTAGAAACCTCATAAGTAGAAATTCTACTTTTGTTCCACTAGATATCACCAATTGCTGCTTACTGTTTTCAATATACAATTTGCACAGATTTCACATTTTCATGGGAACTGGATCAATTTTCTAAGAAAACGCTTACATTGTTTTGCATTTATTCAACTGAAATGTTTTGAGGGCTTCCATACATATTCTAAAGAGTTATAACTTAAGTGTTTGTTAGTAAGGCTACATAGTGAAACAATCTGGACAACCATCTATAGGAAACTCTGACTCAATGATCTGCGGTTTAAAATCCCTTATAGTATAACTGATGACATGATGCTTTTCCTTTTTCTTATTTTTTGCTTTCTAATTTAATATGTGTTTTTGTTTCTTATTGGGGAACATGACAGCCCCTACTGTTGCACCATCTGGGCTTAATGGAGGAGGAGGAGCACCTGGAGAACTCATCATCAACTGGACGGTAAACTGGCCACACAAACTGGGTGTTTTCATTGCTAACTGTGGGGAAGCTGGATTACTTCACTGTATTTTATGTAGAAATAAAATTGGGAGGGTAGTTTGGTATTTTTGATGGTCTGTGGCATTACTAGAAAATTCCAGGAGCAGAACTTTGACCCAAGATGTGCCCAGATTGTCCACACTTGATATAAAATAAAAACTGGAGTACTCTGATAAAATACTAGCACATATACATGTTGCAGTTTCCATAGGAATGAAATAAACTATCCCTGATAAATGATCTAGTGATCTCTGCCCATCCTGTAGTACTTTAAAATAGAACTTGTGTTTTGAGTCTCTGCTATGGCCTGTCCTGTGGTAATCAGGATCACAGTGTTGGAAGTGAAGATTCAAAAACATGGTGCCTATGCTTCATACATTGAGGTATTCTAAACATTTCAAGTTAGGTGGATGTTCCTCAGCTATTTTCAGCACTGTATCCATGTGATGATAATTCATTGGTAGCAGGATTTGGAAATGTTGTTGAACCTCAGCTCCATGTTGGCTTGGGACTCTAGTTGCTATAGGGATTAAAAAAATAATATTTTCAACCTTTGCAAGTTATGTGGATGAATGTATAAATATCAATGTTCACTGAAGTGTGTGTGTTTGTGTGTGTATCCATGTGTCAATGTTACCATATAAGGTGCTATTATTTTTTTGAAGGATCAAATAGTTATTTTAGTGTATCTCTATTTTTAAAAGTCCATTTGACTTTATACTGTGTCGATTGAATCCAGATTTTATTCCTCACATTCTTTTCTTTCAATTGATCTGGATACATCGCTATTGTATATGCAGATCACTTTGTAGCATGTGACATGAAAATCTTAACCAGACCAAAGTTGTAGGATATTCCTTTAATGGTCATTCCCCCCCCCCTCATTCTTATTTTGTCTATATCTTAGCCAATGCAACGGGAGTACCAAAATGGAGACGGCTTTGGATATAAGCTTGCTTTCCGGAAAGAAGGCACCCAGGGCTGGAAGACAGCAACTGTGCCCCATGCAGAATCACTGCATTATGTTTATCGCAATGAGAGTATTGCACCTTATACACCATTTGAAGTGAAGATCAGGGCCTTCAACAAGAAGGGAGAAGGACCAGAGAGTTTAGTATCCATCATATACTCTGCTGAAGAAGGTAAGCTAAGACATAAGGGTGAATATTCTATAGAATAATACTTTGTCTCAGTCAGATTTCCTTTTCCAGCTTCTTGGAACACTGAAGTAAGCTAATAAGCAGTATTTTTATGGAGATTTTTATCTGATCTTTGTTTGATAAATTTGTCTAAGATTGGATTGGGCAACAACTGAAGGGCTTTCGCCGTTAAACTGTTATCATTTTACTGTGATAGAACCAAGAGTGGCTCCCTCTAACGTTACAGTCAAGGCAGTAATGGCCACAGAAATGGATGTTTCTTGGGATCCTGTGGAGCACCATGACATGAACAGAGTCCTACTGGGCTATGAGGTAAGAGGTAGGAAGGACTGGATCTGGAATGGAATTCAGGTCAAATGCATCACCCCCTTCCTCCTCTCTGAAGGAGATACTTATTTGTCATGTCTTCTTGTGGAGCAGCCAACCCAGGCTGTTCCTGAGAGATAGTCTGATGCACCTCAAGAAAAGCACTTCAATAGCTGAGGAACTCAGATCCCTCTGTATTGCTGATTTTAGATCCGGTACTGGAAACACAGTGACAAAGAAGAGGCTGCTGACAGAGTGAGGACAGCAGGTCTTGTCACCTCAGCCCACGTAACAGATCTCCACCCCAACACCAAATACCATGTGGCAGTCAGGGCATACAACCGAGCAGGGACTGGGCCACCCAGTCCACCCACCAGTTTCATGACAACAAAGCCACGTAAGTAAGCATTAGATCAAATGGCAATTGCCTGCCTGTTCTTAAAGTTCTTCGATTCCTTGTATTATATGTGTGTGTTGTTTCCTATGGGCTGTGTCCAGATTCAAGAACATGGAACAGGGTTGGTGGAAGTTGATTTCCTCATCTCTTCCTCCCTCTTCTGCACATACATCAGGAATGAGAAGCATATGGCTCTCTGGAAGTTGTTAGGCTGCAGCTCCCATCAGGCCTGGCCAACATAGTAAATAGTGAAAATTGCTGAGAGTTGCAATCCACAACTGGATGGATGCACTTTGCCAACTTCTGACTCTGCCATAGGGGACTATAGCAGAGGGGTCCCATGACATCACCATTGATTTTTTCCTTTACTCATTTCTCCTGACATCTCCCTTGAAATGCAGCAGTTCCACTGCAACATGCCCAGGGAGTCATCCCTGCTCACTAGTACCATACAAGAGAGATGCACACACCCCAGGTGGTCACACATATATCTCTGGCACCTTCATCTTAAGCCCAGCTATCTCCTTATTTGCTCTGCTAGCTTAGGAGGTTACCAAAGGACAACAATGCCCAAACTTTTTCTAAGTACTCATGGTCTGCACAGATGTGAGCATTACTCTATACTGCTGCTGACTGCTAAGTATCATTTAATAAAACTAAATTTAAATGAATAGTAGAAAGAACTGTACTTAGAACAAACAGGATGGGAATATAAGTAAAACCTAATTAAATAAACAGATCCCAAATTCTTCAGGCCTTCTGCAAAGACATGCTTGAACTCATGGGAAACACACATTTGTAGGATGGATATAGGATGCATGTGTTTAAATTCCAGCCATCTTTCATGAAGGCAGGAGGGATAACTAGGTACATGCATAGTTCACTTACAGGGAGTTATATGTAAAATCCAGAGCACCGGAAGGTATACATCAGGGTATAGGATGCCCCCCTCCAAATTGGTCTTTAGACCACTCTTTGCTTCCTGTTGTCTCAGCATAACTCTATATCCATTTGTATCTTTTAAGCACCAGGAAGGCCCCCTGGTAACATCTCCTGGAAGTTTTCCAGTTCCAGTGTGAGCATCAAGTGGGACCCCGTGGTTGCCAAGGCAGATGAGTCTGCTGTCACTGGGTACAAGGTACTGGCAATGTGTTTCAAGTTCTTCCTCCTGACAGAGAGTATGCGATATAGCAAGTCAGGGCAATATATGATCCCCTGTCAGACATCTTGGGGTGGATAGGAAAAGTTCCTTCCTTCATTTCAAATCAGGCTCTGCAACCAAAATCTTGGTGCTGTATTTGAGGAGCAGCTTTACATTTTCCTTGGGCTGTTCCAACTTATAGGCTAAAATCCTATGCCTCTTGATTTGTAAGTCCCATTGAACTACATAGGCCTCGTCTTCAGCATCATTTGAGAGTTCTTCTTTTGTGATATTGCAAAATGAGAGTTATTGTAGTGTTCCTTAGTGGCATTGGAAAAGGCATGCTGCCCCTGTGACTACTCATGTGTAAACTGGCTGGAAAGTGCCTTAAACATTAAAAGAACAGCAGCAATAGTAAGCACAAATTGCCTTTATTTATAGATGCTGTACCAGCCGGACTCGCACTCAATTCCTATTCTATACATAGCCAACAATAACCGGATTGAGATCCCAGTTCCGGAGGAGTCCACTCGTGCAGTAGTGCAGATTAGAACAACTGGTCCAGGTGGAGATGGAGTGCCAGCAGAGGTGCGGATCCTCAGAAACAGTGGTGCGTCTGCTCTTCTCTTTTCTCTTTATTCTGTGCTTATCCTGTAGGCTGAACTTTCCAGTTTCAAAATGGTGGCATCTGCTGCCTTTAGGAAGCAGGCATATTTGTTCTCTCCTCATTGTTTCACTTGGTTTTCTGTCTAGATGTGACACTGAAAAAAAATAACAGGAGTGAATGCTTCGGTACCAGATCTTTTCATTCTTTCTGTGTTGGTGGTCAATAACACTGGGACAATTTGTTGTTTGCACCTTCAAATTGGCTCCTACTGTACTTCAGGTCACTTTCCCTATCTGGACAGCTTTTAAATGCTGCTCAGTTAAAAATCTCACAATTTGGTTTTGTAGTCCAGTACAAACTACTATCCTAAAATGCAGTCTCAGTCAATTGAGGATAGTATCAATTAAATTTTGTTAACCATTGTACATCTCCTTTCCACCCCCACCTTGTGTGCTGTTTTATTACCTTCCAAGCACCAGATTATTTGCCTGGATAGGAAGAGGCTAATAAACAATGAGGACTTTGGTCCAGTTGGAGGACATGAATCCAGTGCAATACTGAAGTGCAGCAATAAAGGAGTACAAAAATAAGTAGAGGAACAAAAATAGAGGATTCAAAATCAGAAGTACTTAGAGTACATGTGAACAGAAGTAGAACTATGGAATAGCACCATCCTCTGCTTTTGCCACTCAGGATGAAAAAGTAAACTGGAAATGTAAAAGTAGCAGAAAACATGCTGTGGTTGGAGGCATTGGAGGTTATAAGATCAGTCTGTAGCTCCTCCAGTTTAAAAGATGAGGAAACCCCCAGAGAAAGTTAGAAGGCATCCAGTGAGGCTCCCACTGTTGTTTCCAAATGAAATGACCATGATTTATTCCAGTAGCCACTACCACTGCCTCTTAAGTAGTTTGCTTGGCATATCAAGAGGATGCCTGTTAGCATCTCTGCACTGAAAACCAAACACACCCTCTGAATCTACGGAGAATTTCCTTCTGTCTCTTCCTGAGAAATATGACTTAGACAAGGCATCAGGCTCAGGTACTTCAAAGTCAATTAAAGTTTATTAATCATGCAAATAGAAGTTACTTTATACTCTTGGGAACAGGCTGTACGTCATAGGTGCCACAGGGATGCCTCAATGTCCAGTATCATATATCACTTCCTTCAGCTGGAAGAATGGCAGGATAGAAATCTCACATCAATTGTAGTTAAAGTTAAGCGAAAATAAATGTTACATCCTTCCTTTTCAGACTTTGGGAGATGATAGCCCCCTGTGTTTCTGCCAGGGATTAATGTGTTGCAGTGTGTCTGATCACATTTTTCCAGTGCTTCTAATTGGCTAGCTCCCTTTGATTGGAGATTTCATCACTGGAAGTCTGAAAGGGACGATATATAAGACTAGTATTAAAGGTGGATCTATCTAAAACACTATAAGCCTGCTTTGTAGGATGAATGGTAAGCATCATGCTACCATCCTGCCATTGTTGCATTTCACTCCCTTTGTTTTCCCAGGCCAGATCTTAATAAGTTGTGCCACAGTCCACCTCTTACACTTACCATTCCTTGCCTCAGTCACATTCCCTAAGCTGTAATATCTCTCACAGGCTGTGGGTCTGTTGCAAACCACACACCATCAGAGAGCCATGTGATCAATTGATCCCTTCCCGTCTTCTCCCTCCTTCCAGCAGCCCAGAACAAACTAACACAGAGAAAACACAGCAATTGAAATGATTTCCAGCCATCTGTTAAAAGTTGTGAGTGTGCTTGCAATATTTTTGATTTACATTTCTTAAATATTGGTTTTAAATTTTAATAATGTCTAGTCCCTGTTGGACGTCAGTTTAATTAATTATAAAAATGAATCAATATTTTTCCCCAAGCTCTGGGACAGAGGGTATTTTCTCCTCATTCAACTCTGTGGTGGCAGTGGTTGCAGTATGGGGAGGTACAAGGGGTTGGGGAGGGCACAGCCCCTGTAGCTGACCATGAGGGAGGACTCTAAAATTTAATCCACTGGCTGTCCATGTCTGTTTCTCTAGAGCAGTGGTTTCCAGCCTTGGGTACCCAGATCTTCTTGAACTAAAGCTCCTAAAAGCCTTCACCACTAGCTGTGCCGGCCGGGATTTTTGGGAACATCTGGAGGCTCAAGATTAGGAACCACTGCGAGTGCCATGTAGAGAAGTGATGAAGCCATCCCAGATTCAGATGTCATGGAACCCATCTGAAGAATCTTTTAATATATATGGAGAATCTTGCCTTCCCGAGTCAGTAAATAATTTTGACCACATCATTAGGTGCATGAATTCAGCCATAATGTTGACTTGTGGCAGTGTGTGTGCAGAAATATAATGTGCATTTTGTGGAACTCTGAAATTGGTAGAAGCAATGTTGATGGAGAAATCAGACTCTGGGTAAGACTTAGTGACATTAGTTTGAAAATTATGTTAATTCTCAAGATAACAGCAATTGAGAAACTGAGGTAAACATGCAGAAATAGGACTCAACTGGAAACTATAAGCAGTGGTATAGTGAAGTCATGACTTTCTGGATCAAGACTACAGGATTCTATGATGGCCAGAGAGGATGATGTAATCTGCCAATCTCTCCTCCAGGTTTCCATTTTCTCTCTGAGTTTAGTTTTAATCCTCAGAATACTGAGCATCTGCACTTCACAGTTTACCACTGCATCACAGGCTATAAAATATTTCTACCTGGTGGGGAAATAAAACACAAGAAAAGGATCTTGTCAGTACAGTTTTTATAAACCAAGTGCCTAGAAAGCAACAGAGTGATAGATGCTTTATATTAGGACATCCATTATAATATTAAGAAGTCTGTACCTTCTGGTCTTTCCACAACAATACTGGAATATAAAATCAGTCGTGATTTTGGGATGCCTATCTGCCTTCAACATAGCAGCAGAGCTTGGAAATGTCAGGGCTAGATTTAATGCATTACATTAAGCCATTAAAGGAAAACATTGATTCATTCACATTAAAGAGATATTTATGAAATTACCATAATGGATTAATTATTGATAAAACTATTGATCATTTATTTTTAAAATAAATTAAAATTACTAAAAATGGCCCAAATGCCATATTACCTCCTCATAACACATTAAAATAGCATGAACTATTAATTGTTAATCAAAACATTATTGTTGTTGGAACATTTTTATGGACTTGGGGTAACAAATGAATTTTCAACAAATTCTTTCCAAGGTGTGCATGGTATTTAGGTTCTGGTCAAAGGTAAGTGCACAGCAGAAACATTCCAAACACCAGAACCCACTGTTTTTCAAACCAAGGTCATCCCCCACTTCATCTCTTTGTAACTTAACAGAGCTTTCTTTCTTACAGGCACAAGTATGATGGTGAAAGATTCTGCAAGCCGTCCAGTTGCACAGACAGTGGTTGCCCTGACTCACTCACTAGTAATGTTTGCTCTGATTGGCTCTTTGGAGCTCTGATAGTAGCTTCCATAATGGAGGATTCCAGATTAGGACTCCTCCTAATTAAGTTGGAGCAAGTCAAGAATTGACCATTAGGACTACGGATTTATACTACCAATTTCTACCACAGCTGCTGTACTGCAGAGAGTGGCTGAACAGAACTGAAGAGGAAAATACACATTTTCTTTCTTTCTTTTCTAGAAAATAGGACATTTCATACAAGACCTGAGTCTTTAATCAAAGATTTTTTTAAAAAAACAAATAAACAAAAGGATGAATTCTGAATGAATTCTCTGGATGTCTCATATTCTTCTGCCTTACAAAGCCATGTGCAAAAGTGATCAAGACTCTAAAAACTTGATATTTTCCTCCTTTTTTTAAATAAACCAAACCAGAATAAAGTATCTTTTAGGGAAGGCTTTCATAATGATGAGTATGCTCTGTACCATTGCCAGCTTATTGAACCAAGGACTCTGGTGTTCTGACTTAAAGGAAAACTTGCAATGTGACAGACAGTATTATCTACATGACCACCTTTGATGACAACTCGCTGAAGCAGGGAAAGCCAGTGGAAGCTGACAGTCATCTGACAACCAGGAAAGTTATTCAACTGCTCTACTTAATGTCTTCTCTATCAACATCATCCAAGTTAATTTGTAACATTAAAACACATCAGCAGAGCATCATCCTGTACGTTATGCAAGCTGGAATCATCTTCCTGGATACAGGTGCTGTGCTACCTCTTTCCTTTTCTTCAAATTCATCTTCAACACATAGCTTTCTCACTTGATTTTTAAGCTTTTCCCTTCATGCTCATTTTCATCTGTGATCTCATTAAAAAGATGAAACTGTTGCGCTCTGTCATTTATCCTCTGCCAACACTTTCTACTTCACTTCTTCATTCTTCTCCCTATTACCTTAAACTGTGAGTTTCATGGGGTTAGATAAATCACTGTTGTTGTCTTTTCCCGTGTACCTTTGTGAGGGCCACCTGTACAACTGTAGAATTAATTGACCATAATTGCAAAGATAAATAAAGCCCCAAAATCATTTTGAAGTGATTCAGGGTCAAAGTCAATACTTCCTGGGATATAATTCACATATTTTCTCCCTCACAGCAGAATGTCCTTGGAGATATGTGCCATAATGACCAGAGTTGTAAATAAAGCCCATGTTTACCTTCCAGTGACCAATCAAAACCCAGCATGCTCAAGTTGGGAGGAGGAGGCCTACAGAAAGAGTTCATAGAGCCATGGGTCATGTATTGTCTAAAGCTGCTCTACTCATCAGTAGGGGTTCAATGGGGTTTATTTCTGAGTTGAAGTACAGGATTTTTTTGTTAAATGGGGTTTTGGATGGGGTTCAGGCTGGTAGACAGGCTGAATGGATTTCCTTGCAAGGTGCTTTTCTACCTCCTTCAGCTCCCACTGGTGAAGATTGGTGTGAAAACAGTACAAATCCTCTTCCAACATTCATCTTTGACTAACAAAACAGCAGGAGCTAACTTGCCTGTTGGTCCAAAGTCTTAAATGGGAGAATGTTCACCAAAAGTGACTATCTGATGACCACATCATCCCTTTATATTGCTTTGTTTTTAAATCTTTCAAATGGCCTAGCAAAGAAGTGGGAGCTTATGTAGCCACAGCTACACAGAATCATAAAAATTGCACAATTCTATAATTCTGTGTTTTCATCAGTGCTGATGCTTGAGTCACAGCAGGGCATTGTTTCAGGAGATAGAAGATAAGACAACTTCTCCTCTTCCTCTTGAATCCCCTTTAAAAGAATTCAAGAGGAAGAGGAGACCCTTTAAATGAATTATGGTAAGATTACTTTACAGTGCTTGATTTTATGATTTTTTTAAATTAAAAGTTTATAATCCTCTGTGAACTCTTAATTTTTTTAGAGGAAAGATGGGATAAGAAATAGAAAGAAAGAAAGAAAACTGTTACATTCATTGTCTAGTTTTCCAAGTTAGAGATTCTCAAGAGTTAGAACAGTTACTCACTATTTATTCAAGGTAATTATGAAGTAATCCAATCATAATTTAATAAACTAAAATTACTAGTCATTATCAAAAGATAAGTATGTCTTCAATACCTTTTTCCTTTCCTAATACAACAGACCAGAATCAAAGTGGCTTTTGATTATAATCAAATCAATTTACAGCCCTTTTTTTAAAAAAAGTTGCACTTTCCCCATTATAGTAATTGGTATGTGTTTTGATTTCTCGTCTATCATTCAATGTGATCAAAGCTTGAATCTGGGTTTTAAAAAAATACATATCCCCAGATTTTTCCTTATTTTTAATGGAATTGATGAAATTCCATTACCCCTGTTGATTATAATTCAAAATGTAGCTTGCTGTTTAAATTGGCTGAAGTCTATTCCTATTAGTGAACAGAAAATTCAACAAGTAGTCCTTAAGTGCAGGTAGTGGGGGGGTGGTGACTTTGTTTTTACATCCTTTGAGTTTTAACTTGAACTTTACATCAACTGTCCAAGGTGCTGAACCTATTTATTTACAGTTTAGTACCATAGGGACATGGTGGCGCTGCGGGCTAATCCGTAGAAGCCTATGCTGCAGAGTCAGAAGACCAGCAGTCGTAAGATCAAATCCACACGACAGAGTGAGCTTCCGTCACTTTGTGCCAGCTCCTCACCAACCTAGCAGTTCGAAAGCATGTAAATGCGAGTAGATAAGTAGGTACCACCTCGGTCGGAAGGTAAAATGGCATTCCCTAGTCATGCTGGCCATGTGACAATGAAAACTGTCTTCGGACAAGTGCTGGCTCTACGGCTTGAAAACGGGATGAGCACCGCCCCCTAGAGTTGGACACGACTGGACTAAAAATATCAAGGGAACTTTTACCTTACCTTGCATAGCTTTTGTAAAAATCAGACTAAAATTTGGAGGCTTTGCAACTGGGCAAGGGCCATTTTGGCAAATGGACCGTGCAAACAGGTATGGTCAGTAAGTATTCCTGTCCTCCTGGCCAGAGATGGTGTCTTGCCTTTGACAAACAGAAGGACCATGTGCTTTACAAACAGTTTTTGTAGGTCAAGATGTTTGTAAAAGCATAACTTTATAAAAATTAAATGAACGAATCAATGGATGCTTCAGAATTAGACCTCTATTTATAGATTACAGGCATCTCCTCTCTACCTATACAAGTATTTTTTGGCCACGGGTCATTGCCAGCAGCAATGGTCCAAGGAAACCTTATGCTGAGGACAACACTGCCTGATTTTAATTCTACATTTCTTGCCCTCTGTAAAGATGCATTATTTCAGTTCAGTAATCCAGTTCAGATGAAGAAGGCGATGCTTGTACAAGGGGAAGACTACCTGAGTTTCATGCATGTAGATTCTCCTGTTTTATTATAGAGGAAGAAATTGAAACTCCATCTGTTCAAGTAACCTGTGCATTGTCCAGAGAATTCTATTGTTCTGTTGCTATTGCTGTTGCTATACACCATCAAGTTGATTCCACTGAATTAGTGACCTCTGAAATCTCCTTTCATTAACACTCCTGCTCAAGTCTTGCAAAGGAAAGGCTGTGGATTCCTTTACTGAGTCAGTACATCTAATGTCTTCCTCATCTACTGCTGCCTTTTACTTTGCCCAGCACTATTGTCTTTTCCAGTGAGTCTTGTCCTTTCATAATACGTTCAAGGTATAACCCCATCAATTTAGTCATTTTCCTTTCTAAAGCAATTATTAGTATTATTATTTATTAACTTCCTATATAGCCTTCAAAGACTCTCTGCAAAGGATGTAGTGGACCCAAAAAGGCAGAGAAGCAAAATCTAGGATTGAGGTGAAAGTACTGGGAGACTACAAGGGGGCAGAGATGCCAAGAATTAGTGCAAGGCAACTGGGATTTTGACCCAAGGCACTGAAATTTAAAGGATACAAAAATTTGCTGCTGGCACAGCACAAAGATGCCTGCTCTAAGTGTCTTTACTGTCTCCAGTTGCTCCACCATTGATAAAATACAACTCATATGAGCTGAGCATAGAACTAAGAAGGCAGTTTGTGCTCTTAGACCAGTCCACTTCTCAGTTTTTCCATCTTGTCCTTGCATATGCCAATCTGATGAAACCTAAGCTGAGCTAGTAGGGCAGCAAAACCCAAGGCACCAAATATTGCTACATATAGCACTGCCAGTGCTTGGTTCATCATGCACTCTGGAGCAACATGTACACACAAACATCTTATTACCCAGGAAGCTGTGATGGCAACTGGGAATGGGTAGAGACAAGTGCCCAAACTGAAGGCAATGTGACACTCAAAAATCAAACCTCCTCCTCCACCAATGCAACTCATATCCCTTACTGAAGATCTGGAGATGCAGATCAACTCCCAGAGATGTCAGCCAGTGCCCAGAGACCTTGCATGCAACTAAGAATGGGATTTTTGGACCATAAACAGATACGTTCCTTGAATTCAGCCCTCGTGGAAACTGTGGCTACTTTAAGGGTAGAAGGTTTTTGTTCTTTTTCTCCAGCATACAAAAGCAAGAGAAAGGGAGGGGAAATGTCCAAGAACTAAGATCCAGGCAGCCCTGGAAGCTTAATCATATTAATAAATGCCTCGTGGGCTAATCAAATTGCCTGGCTCTAAGAGCTTACATTGTGATAGGATAAGGCAGTGGTCATAAAAGGAAGTGAGGGTGGTCCTGGAATGTCTAACTTTTTGAGAACACCGTATCTGTATACTGTATATTGTAAATATTGAGATGATCTCCATGTTGTCCTGCAGTGATGATCAATATACTTGTTAAGGAAGAGAGGGTGGTCCTGGAATGTCTAACTTTTGGAAAACACCGTAAGTCCAGATGCCATATCTGTATATTTTGTAAATATTGAGATGATCTCCATATTGTCCTGCAGTGATGATCAATATACTTGTGGAAACAAAAATTGTCTGTATCTTTGCAGATAAACCCATTGAATCCATTTCTGACTGGTAGGTCAACACTTACATGAATCCCCTTGATTCAAAGGATCTACTCTAGTTGGAGTTAGCAAATGGATTTTAGACCATCAGGTTTGATGGGCCTGTTCACACTTGCATGTACATCACATGCAACCTACACAGGAGAAAGGGTCAGTCCACATACTCTTTTTCATTCTCCAGCCTCACAATCACCAACCTCCAGTGGGCTGCAACAGAAGCTTGTGCCAGTTGCCATTATCTCTCCTTTAGCTTAGCTTTTTTTTACCTTAAATTTTGCCTGTGCTGATGTTTATGCTGTTTCTCCGTAGACTTGCTTCTTTCACAGGTACGTACTATGAAATGAATGTTCCAGAAGATTTTTCATGGGGACAGGCCTTTTGTTGCTTTTGTGTGTGTGTGGTAGCTGCTCCTGCTCTCTGCCTCCTCCCAGTTTTTACTTCCACAAGTTCCTAACATGGAGGGAGACCCAGTTTATGAAATCCATTATTAAGCTGAAGACTCTAGTCCTCCTTCAAAAGCAAGGAGTTAGCTAAAATGCTCAGGAAATTATTTTCTATGGGCAATGATTCTTTGATATGCTTACTTACTCTTTGTATTATGATCTACTGAATCTTTGGAATATCATTTTCAATATGCATTACATCACAGGAGTAGTTTTGCTCCTATTCAAGCATTTTTGAGGCCTTGCTGAAGTGGCCAGTGAAGATATTGCTAGAGACCTACAATGTACATAAGTAACTCACCTCATTGGCTTTCAAACATTGCAGATTTTCAGACTGCAGAGAATTGAGTTTATCAATAAATATGCTCAATTAACTTCCTGCAGGTTAAACACGATGAGAAAGTTAATTCTGATTGTATTTCCATGACCCATAGTTTATTGCTATGGGTCATGGAAATAGAATTAACTTTGGATGCAATCCACGTATCTGTCACCTATCAGGAATTCCTTTCCCCTATCACCAACTAGTTTCCACTGATAGAAGTCAGCTGACTTTTCTAAGGGATTTTCACGAGCAAAAGGATGCAATCCACGTATTTGTCACCTATCAGGAATCCCTTTCCACTATCACCAACTAGTTTCCACTTATAGAAG